GATGTTTGTTGATTCCCTTTGAGGTCGGAGGGATCAATTCAGATTTACTCATATCGGCTCTCGTGAGTTCAATTAGTTTGTGTCTGAGGGTATTATTACTACCCTGGGGAGGTAATCCAACAATCTCTTTCAGGTTGTCTACTAGTATCCTATAGTCATCATCTCTGTTTTATAATATGCGAGATTGGGATGGAAGTTTGGGAATATCTCCAAGAAGGTTCTTGCTATAGGAAGGCCCTGAAGTGGTTTCTTCGATGACTTTATAGTTTTCCCAGTCTTCCTCAGGAGTAACAACGGGGTTTCTTAAGTTGTCAACAAGCCTTTTTCTCAGTTCTTTAACGTTTCCCGAGTTGTCTATACTTCTAAGCAGGCACTCCTCTTGTAGTTGTATTTTGTTAAGTGTGTAGATCCAACCAACACGTTCATCCTGATGTAGAGGTGCCTTCTGTTGGAAGGTCGTGGTGCTAGATGACATGATGGGTAGATTAAGAAGTGCCAAAGTGGTTGTGGTGGTTGTAGTGGTAGTCGTAACTGTCGTAACTGTCGTAACATGCGGTGTAGGCAATGGCGGAAAATCCTTTTGAGGCAGAAATTCACCGGTGGTCGCTTGGTTTTCTTCGTTCATCTTCGTTCGATGTTACGAGGAAGTTGATGCTGATGCTGTATCAGTCCCTGTTCGGGTGCCAAAATTTGTGACGTTCTCTCTCTCAAGTGAGGTCCGGGATAGCTCAGTGCTTGCTGGGTATCTGTTCCAGGGGTCGAAACAACGGGAAGCAAAGGAATGGCTCAGATTCGTGGCACACAATGTTATTTGTTTTCAAACAGCCTCTGTCAGCACAGCCACAAAGGAAAGGTTGTGGATAAGGAACTAGTAGGATGTCTGAATTAGTGCGAAACTTCCAATTAACAGGATCTATGATTATGCTAAGATTACTCTAGCAGGAGCGGGTCAAGTGCTAAGATTTCTCTGGCAGGAACGGGTAGAGTGCTAAGATTTCTCTAGCAGGATTGGGTCGTGTGCTAAGATTTCTCTAGCAGGATAGGGTCGAGTGCTAAGATTTCTCTAGCAGGAACGGGTCGAGTGCTAAGATTTCTCTAGCAGGAACGGGTCGAGTGCTAAGATTTCTCTAGCAGGAACGGGTCGAGTGCTAAGATTTCTCTAGCAGGAACGGGTTGAGTGTTAAGATTTCTCTAGCAGGAACGGGTCGAGGGCTAAGATTTCTCTAGCAGGAACGGGTCGATAAAGTCGAATACTAACAAGCCAGAAAATTCGGGGCGTCCGTCTCATACGAGAGCCGGCGATGAACTGACTTCTGCTCCGGTGTGGGGCTTGTATTTATACGCGGCCGTTTCGCGCATGCGCAGAAGTCCTGAAATGGTCAGTTGGGATTCGGATTTTGAGGAGAAAGGATCGGACTGTCTTTTAACATGGAGATTTGGTTTTCTGGATAAATTTGAGGTTGGGGTTGTGTTTTCGGGGCAAATACAGAGTGAACAGGCTAGAACAGGTTGAATTAGGTAACGTGATATGACAAAGGGCGACGCAAGGAAAGGGGAAGGTTGGATAGGACTTCGGAAGGTGACGTAGGGAGCGGAAGGTGACGCAAGGTAAGGGGAAGGTCGGGGAAGGCTGTAGAGGGCGACGTAGGATAGCGGAAGGCGAGGTAAGGTAAGGGGAAGGTCGGGGAAGGGTTTGGAAGACGACGTGGGATAGCGGAAGGCGACGCAAGGTAAGGGGAAGGTTGGGTAAGGGTCTGGTAGACAACATGGGATAGCAAAAGGCGACGCAAGGTAGCGGAAGGCAACGTAAGGTAAGGGGAAGGTCAGGTAAGGGTCTGGAAGGCGACGTAGGGTGGTGGAAGGTGATGCAAGGTAAGTGGAAGGTCGAGGAAGGGTCTGGAAGGCGACGTAGGGTAGCGGAAGGCGAGGTAATGGAAGGGAATGGTCGGGGAAGGTTCTATAGGGCGACGTAGGATAGCGGAAGGTGGTGCAAGGTAAGGGGAGTCGAGGGGACTGTGGGATAATTTAATATAACAATTGGGGAAAACAGACAGGTGTAATTCGGGCACGTTACAGTCTTTTGCACAGTAGTGGTTCCAGTTTCATCTAGATTTTAAATTCGAGTTCCATCTGCAAATTTATTGTGACGACCAAAAGCAGTTTTTAAATTCAGGTAAAAACTGTCAACATTGTGTCGGTTGAACGGCTCTTGATAAGCTGCAACCCTCAGGTTGTCGGACACTTAATCTAGGATGTCTCTTAAAAAAACCCTGCATCCAATCAATTCCAGCTTTTTTATTTGTTTCCCAATTTTTTGACATTTTTTTTTTATCTTTGCCATTTCATAGGCAAGTTCTCTAAAATTCTTACTGGATTTCCCTTAGCACATTTTAGAACACTTAATTATGTATTCTTCTAGTGCCTTTTCTTCAGCTTCAGTAACCAGTCGGCTTCTATATTTTGGGGCCATTCTTATGTCTTGCCCTTGAGCTTGAGCTTTGTTGACATACCTTTGTAGTGTGGTGAGTTTAAGTTCGTACTCCCTTGATGCCTGGCGAAGAGACATTTTTTTTTTCAATTACATCCTTGACTGCACGGCTTATTGTCTCCTTAGAAAACGACCCTTTCTCTGATTTTCTCTTTCTTCCTCTTGACCTATTGATCTGTAAAAAGAACAGCCAGTTCAAGATTTTTTCTCTTGGATAAATTTCCAAAAAGAATAATTTAATGGAAAACGCCCCTAATTTGGTCTTAAACTATTAAATTAAAAACATATAAATAATAGGTAATATTTTTGGTTACAATGAGACACTTTATGTTGGGCCACAATGGAACTGTTCCATTGTGGCCCAACATCAATTGTCTCATCGTGGCTCATGGGTGTTTGACCACAAAAACTAACCCTAATTCCACTTCAGAACTTCTTACAAATATGCTAACTAGTCTAAACGTTTTAGAAAGAATTGTTCTTTATACTGGTGTGTGACACTTACCTCTCATAAATGCAAATGGAAGGTTTAATGTCGTTAAGAAATAACCTGGAAAAATAACTTTAAGTTGTCAAAAACAAAACATGAATTATTTCTCTTCCTTAGTTGGAGGCAGCCATTTGCACCAATAAACTATGGGTACACAAATAGTTTTCGAGTTCAATCACAGAGTGCAGCAGTTGGCAGAATAGCCAAATTAAAAAAAAAAACATGGTTGTTCCACTTTGGCCCACGTTCCATTGTGGCCCACCCTCCCCCTACAGTCCTCAGCCAGACTGTCACCATCCATCCCCCAAGATGGTAAAAAAAATTCAACTGTCAACATTTCACTAAACAATAGTCACTTAAATATGCAGGGTGAGTTTTAAATGAGTTCCCCCCCTACTTTTTTCTACATTTCTTAAGATATCAACTCCGGACCACGTCAGATCATTTTAGAGTAGTAAGTAGGCTACTTCATTTTGACTGGGTATAAATGTTTGGCCGCCATCTTGGATCCGCCATATTAGATACAAAGTTTTTTTTTCAAATGTAAAGGTAGGGTTGTGACCCATCGTTTTAAACTAGATTTTTATGCTGAATACGATGCTGCAACCCGTTTTTTAAAATCTTGATCCATTCTAAAGTTATGAGAACTGTTTATAACATTATTTTTAGCCCATTTTAACATTGTGCATTTAGAAACTAAGAACATAATCGCAAAATAGTGCTAGATAAAGATAAGTATACACCACATAATATACATAAATCTTTATCTAGCACTATTTTGCGATTATGTTCTTAGTTTCTAAATGCACAATGTTAAAATGGGCTAAAAATAATGTTATAAAAAGTTCTCATAACTTTAGAATGGATCAAGATTTTTAAAAACGGGTTGCAGCATCGTATTCAGCATAAAAATCTAATTTAAAACGATGGGTCACAACCCTACCTTTACATTTGAAAAAAAAACTTTGTATCCAATATGGCGGATCCAAGATGGCGGCCAAAAATTTATACCCAGTCAAAATGAAGTACTTACTACTCTAAAATGATCTGACGTGGTCCGGAGTTGATATCTTAAGAAATGTAGAAAAAAGTAGGGGGGGGAACTCATTTAAAACTCACCCTGTATAATTGTTTCTCTGTTGGCTTTGATTTTCCAAGTTTGAACCCCGTACCCAACTAGTTTCCTTATAGTGTAAAGCGTAGCACGAGGCTCAAAAGTACCTACTTAACTTTCCTAAAATGTAGTGAAAATAAGTTCTTTTGATTGCCTTATGGAGAGGAGGCCTGAAAACAGTTTTACTTGAATAAATCATTTTAATGATAAGCTTTATTTAACTTAACTGACAGTTCTAGCTGAGATTTATCTAACTTAACAGACAGCTCTTACTGTGCCTTACATCTCACCTTGAACATGTTTAATCTTTATCAACCTCAAAAAGTGATACTGACCATCATCCTAAAGTTCTCAATTTTTCTAATAGACATAAAATATCCTAAGAGGAACCTGGACATAATAAAATCCCTTTAAGAAATAATTTGCCTTTTTTTGTTAGACTCAATCCTTAAATGAACCCAGGAAAATAAATTGAGAGATAAATTGAGTTTATGTAAATACTATCAACCTATGCTTACATTTAAGAATCTCGGCTTACTCCTTGTGGACCGCCCCCCTTTTAGAGGTTGAGAGTTAATGAACCCATGAAAAACAAGATAGGTCTAACAAAGATACGATGAGTTTAACCATTCTAACTTATACTGTTTTGAAAAAAGTTGGGGGAAAGGACTTTAAACTCACCCTGTATAATTCACTTTAGTGGCCATCCTGTTTCCAGTGAATGTAAAACTATCCATTTCCCCGTAGCCCAAAAATACAGTATGATTTTCAATGCTAAGTAAATTGTTAATCTTAATTGTTAAGGATTACCATACTATGTTTAGAATCGGATTTTGTTTGGAACAAAAGAAAACAGTAATGTGCAATACGAGTACATAGCACACATTTGAAATTGTTAATTATTTCAGAGAGAATATTTTTTCCAGTGAAATCAAGCGCAAGAATGTACCGATACTGATCAAAATACTTCAAACACTGATATTGTGGAAGAGTCAAATATTAAGGTATGTGAGCGGCAAAATGAGGTACTCTATGTAAATATTTAGTTCAAACAACCTATAATACTTTTGTACAACTATGATTAATGAAACAAATATACAAGCCCGATACCCTTAAAGTATTAGTTAAATTCAGTGTAAAAATATTGCACTAAACAGCCAAATTAAATATTCACGTTGTAGCTAATCTACAGCTGTCAAAATTTTTCTGAGCTACAAATTTTAAGTTAAGCCTATTACTCATTCAATTACCCTGCTATCCTCACAAAAAGGCATATAAATGCATAAAATTAGGAGTCACTAGATGCTATTCTTCAAGAAAAAAATTTGGATTAAATAATACATTTTATAGGTAAATCTGCTTTTCCCTTGAATCGCTGAAAAGTTCATTTTATTATTTACGATTGGGAAAAAAGTTTTGTGTATCTGAAATTTTTGCCCAAAAGTTGAAAAAGGATTCCCAGATTATTAATTAGTAATTATGTATTAATCTGATTTTAATATCTGATTCAGAGGAGAGTTTGGAATAAACTGGTACACATTTGAAGGAACTCCACCCATCTCCCCTCATCAAGTGAATTTTCTGATCTCACCTCTTCAGATGGATCAACTTATGATTCCTGGAACAACTACCCCTCTCCGTGTTTGGGCACAGGGTTCATCCCTTATTAACTTAAAGGTTGCTGTAGAAGACTCAAATAAATTTGTAGCTTCAGTGATTTTACCCTCTGTAAATTTCTACAAAGATTACTTTGGCGTGAACTGTCCACTTCCAAATTTGGATTTGGTGTCATTTCCAAGCTCTGGGCACGATTCTACTTTCGGAATGATAATTGAAGAGTAAGTATTTCTGAGTGTATTTAATCTTAAATGTAAGACTAAATTACTTACGTAATTCCCGTCACAGCTCAATAAAATATGTCGGAAGGTATGGGGGTTTAGTGAGTGGGAGAAAATTTCGCGCCGTTCCGGCCAAACCTCGCATGCGGGGTTGGTTCGGCAGATTGGCCACAACCTAAACCCCAACTCTCACTTGTTAGCTGCGGAGAGCTACCTTCTGCCACTGGGTGTTGGTCCACCTACAGAACCAAGTGAGGGGGGCCCTAGACTAAGGTGTAATGCGATCCGTGCCAAGAGTCTTGTGGCACTGGGGGCCTAATATTCAGTGTCTTAACGGAGCCTTCTGGGAACCAGGGGTAACCCAGTCGTACACACCCCTTACCTCTCTAATCGGGTCACTGGGGAGGTGGACTTAAATACCTGGTATTCGTGAGAACAATGTAGACAGTCTGACCCAAATGGACAAGCTCGCAGAAACCGGAAAGGAACGAAAAACGACTTTCCAGGGGCGAGTTGCAAAGATGGAGGATAGCGGATGCTTTAGCCAAAGGCGAAAAGGTGCTATCCAGAAGTGAGAGGAGGCTGGTGTGGGCTGCCAAGCACCCTAACTCTGCTGCCTGCAAAGCCAGTTCCTCCGGGAACTAGGATGCTGGGAAAAAGCAGAGCAAGGGTGGTACCCCCAAAGCTGACTCTAATGAAGCCTCCAGGAAGAAAGGTGGAGGCTGTGCTGACGCAGCCACAAAGGATTGGCTGGTCAAGCAAGTTCAGGAGCTGAGACCTTTCAGGGAAATCTCGCTACGGCTTGCCCCAGCCAGAGACCTTGTGAAAGCTGTGAAGGTATATTTATGTGCCCAGCCCTACAAGGTCTGCGTATGAGATCCCTCGTACGAAAATCGACTTTCCAGGGGTGAGTTGCAAAGACGGAGGATAGCGGATGCTTTAGCCAAAGGCGAAAAGGTGCTATCCAGAAGTGAGAGGAGGCTGGTGTGGGCTGCCAAGCACCCTAACTCTGCTGCCTGTAAAGCCAGTTCCTCCGGGAACTAGGATGCTGGGAAAAAGCAGGTCAAGGGTGGTACCCCCAAAGCTGACTCTAATGAGGCCTCCAGGAAGAAAGGTGGAGGCTGTGCTGACGCAGCCACAAAGGATTGGCTGGTCAAGCAAGTTCAGGAGCTGAGTCCTTTCAGGGAAATCTCGCTACGGCTTGCCCCAGCCAGAGACCTTGTGAAAGCTGTGAAGGTATATTTAGGTGCCCAGCCCTACAAGGTCTGCGTATGAGATCCCTTGGCCTATTGATGGGAGACCAAAGGGAAGAACAGGTCACCATAGTCAAGAGGCTCTCACGGTTCACCAAGGACCTGGGATTTGACGGAGAATGAGGACCTGTGAACGAGGGTGCACAATAAGCTGTTCTAGCTGCGATGCAATCCCATGGTAACTTGTAAGCCTGGCCCTCTATTAAAAAAAAAAAAAAAATAAAAAAATAAAATATGTCTATTCAGGACATGTTTTGGTGTTAAAACACCATCGTCAGCTTCAGGTACATAGTGTAGAGTTGATCAGTTGTTAACATCGTCAGAAGAATAAATAAACACAGTACGGGCACGAATAAATACATAAAACAGTTAAACATTTAAAAACAGGCCTGTTCTAACAAAGATGACCGACCGCACAGGTAGCAAGGGACAGACTAGACCAGCTTATGCTTATCAGTTGTGTGAGAGAGAAAGAGATATTGGGCAAGGATCAGCTGTTGTAGGATGGACGGAGTTATTGATGAGTGAATTAAAAATGGTGTGGGAACTGAATTGTAGTTTTTCGTTTAATATAGTCTCACGGGTGTTAACGTTGTTAAAACTTTTGTATATTTCATACTCCTCTAGAGTGTCCATCTTTTACCCTTTTCTGCAAGTGTGTAGAATTTCCAAGCTGTCATCAATATTTCCCATTGTATGATTAAAGTCAATTAAATGTTGTGCGAAGGTGGATTTTTGTTTGGTTACGCTGGCAACTGGTCTGTGCTCTTTATGGTCATAATGGTCATGCAATTGTTCATGACAATAATTTATCACATTTCCTGTTACTTTACTGTGAAAATAAGTCTGACTCTTCCATTGTAATAAACTATTTTCCCTTAAACCCATAAAATATTCACTCCTAATTCACAATTATTCTTAAGTCTTGAATACTCAGCTCAGATACTAACTCATAAAAAACGGTTTTGCAGATATACTTTTTTAAGAAAATAAGAATCCTACTTGTTTCAGTATAATCAGGAAGGGGCCAAATCATCTTCTTTTGTTTGGATGGATTAATATTTCTTTTGTATTCATTGATTCTTTTGTTTAGGGAAAACACGCTGGTTAAACATGCCGAGTTGAAAGAGAGCATCAGAATGGCACACAACGTGGCTACCATGTGGCTGGATGGTATGGTCACCTTCAGTTGGTGGAATGATTATTGGTTCTCCTGGTCATTGTCTGAACATCTAGCCACACTTGCCGTGAACCATGTGAGCAATACAGATGCATAAAGCTTTTCTCAACACAGTTTACTCTTGACAATCCGTATACCTATTCTAATTGATTGGTTCTGGTTGGACCGCAAAATTGGACTAGAAACCACAACCAGATAAGATCTTGTCATAGTGCAAATTAAATTGACATATCGCTCAATATAATTTATTTCTCACAGCGTTGGATTATTGGGTGTGTTTGATTATGTGGTGTCAAATCTAGCTTTCTGATCCTAGTCTAAACTTTGGGGCAGGAAAAGGCTTCCCCGAAGATTGCTTCAATACTTTTTGCATGGGGGGATTTGAAATAGTAGAGAAAAGTTTCTCTCAATATGAGTAACTTCACTTGTTTGTGTGTCTTCAGAAATACATTGAAACCTAGTTTTTGAGCACTCCATTTTACTAAAATTTTCAGAGAATTCCCTGATAAAGCTTTTCTTTGCAGACCCCTTTCTTTATCGCATTCCGCCTCTGTACAATTTTCTGTAACCTTTAAATTGGGTTTACCATGTGGTAATAATAGTTAAGTGCCAGCGGCTAACCTTCCCACAAATTGAGACTAGACAGTCAAGAAAAATCATAGATATGATATCAAATTCAAAATTTATAATGCAAGGTAAAGCATAACGGACTAAGAAGTTTCACTTGAGTAGTGCTTCGGCTGTGAAGGGTGTAAACGGACACTGTTGATCTCGTTCTCATCAGCCCCTCATACTTTTTCAGTTGTTATCATGGTTGAGACCAAACAGCATTGAGGTTATGCTGTGTGTGCTGTGATATGCAGAAAACCCCCTCAAACTTCCTCAGGTTATCCTGCATATACACATGGGAGCGTAGCTTTAGTGAAACCCAGTTCTTAACCTTATGAAATTCTAGTTATGAGCTGGGTCAGTGTTCAATGAGAGGACCAGATTAAATTCAACGTACCAAACCTTTTATTATCTCAAAGCAAACTACTATTCTATACAAACATAAAACAATTATTGCTAACAACCCCACTAATGAATGGCTGGTAGGAAACGTTCTGGAGGCAGCTAGAACTTTAAATTTATGAACCCCAAAAACAAATCTATTCCCTCGTAATCCAATCAAACAAAGTATCTTACAAAAACTTGTGACTAAAGGGCCTAACCCTGAGACAGAGAAACCAGTACTCACCCAACTCTTCTGGGCACCTTGCCCTGGGTGACTGACCCCTTTCTCTACCTCAGATGGCCTATTTATTGATCCGATAGCTACTGAGTGCAAAGCACCCAGTGTTTACCAAAACACCTCCAGCACGCTTCATAGCAAGCAAGGCCTGACCACAGGTCATCAACCTAGCTTGCCTAGGCTACCCTCTTTTACAGTGCGAATAAAAAAAAAAAACTAGTCAGTGATTGGGGAACACAACAAGGTTTTTGGTGGTAGTTTATCTGTATTCTGCGCAAAAATGATGTTCCTAGTGCAAACACATTTCCCAGTGTCCTCACAGAACTCAGTTTTTATCACTTTCTTCTTACTTTTTAACCCACAATTGCATTGTGTCGGTGATGCACAGAATAAAAACCGCCATAGAAAAGTTGTTTGTGTTGCAACCACTTACTTTTAGTTTCCTTAAATATGAACACACGGTATAACCTTGATTATCTCTGGTCCCAACCAAGATAGCAACTGCAGTGGTGGTCCCAGGAGGGGGAGATAGGAGTGATATATGAAACTGATTAGTCCTTTCTGCCGCACTCTATGTATGTTGTCTGTTAACTTTTGTTAAATGCATCTAAATAATGTATATGTATATGGTGAGTCAGTGGCTCAGTTGGTAGCGCTACAGACTTTGGGCTCAAGGCAGCGATTTTGTGGGTTCAAATCCTGGTACTTGCCACTACTTTATATCAGTATAGTTCACCCTTTTACTGTACTGGCTCACCCCTTGATTTTCTCCCCCCTTGGAATACATTCAATGCACAGGCCTCTGTGGCCCATTTGGACAGGCAAATGCAAGGTAAAATAGGCTGCCAACCTCTTTAGGAAAAAGATTTAACAGAAAAATAACATTTAGATTTTAACTATTAAACATCAACTCAAGAAAAGAATTGCATACACTTTCATCTTGGGCAGTTAGAAAACTGCATTAATTTTTTTTTCAGTAAAACTGAAACAACTCAAACTGACATAATTCTGGAGTATCCTTTTATTATAAGTTCTGATCTATTTATTCAATTCTGATTTACAGCTTTATCCCGGTTGGAATATAGCCAGTCGGTATTTCGTACACCAGACTTTAAACATTTACAAGGAAGAACCCGGAAACTCTTTCCACACAGTTTTAATGCCTATCAAAAATCCAGAAAGTGTTTTAGAAAACTACCTCCAAGGAGGAATATTTTTTCATAAAGGTAACATTATTAAGTTATTTAAAACACAGGGAACCGAGTTTTATCTTTAAAATATAGGAATACATGCTGCAAATGCACATATATGAATGAGTTGCCTTTTTGTTCTCAGTCTAAAAACTTGTCTCCAAGTTGTCCTCAATACAAAATTAAATGAAGTTTTATGTTTTGAGGGAATTAAATTCTTTTATACGACATGCATCAACAGCAAAGCTAGTTTGATATAAGATAGAAAGCAACGACTAAGGGTAATAGAAAATAAATTTTGTAGCCCAATATTTTAATGGTGTAGTTATTTACTTATGGTTATCTTATGGCTTGTAATTGACAGACTGGAGTTGGCAACAAGTTTTGGTTCCTAACTATTAAACTTTTTTTTATTGTTGAAAAAAAAAAACTATACTGTCTTCAGCAAAAGATGGCAAACATGTCCTAGTACAGAATAATGATGGCACCTCTTTAGTACCCGAACTAGTCACTCACTGCAATGTGTAATGTTTGGATTACTATAATCAGGTATGAAATAAACAAATGTCATTTTTCAACATTTTAGGCCCAGTGTTGATTCGAATGGTGTCCATGATCATTGGAGAGGATACTTTTAAAAAAGGATTACAAGCATTTGTTGCTAAATATCAGTTTTCAAGTGCAACAGCCAAGGACCTATGGGAAAGTTTGTTCAACAATGTACAGGATCCAAAGCTTATAAAAGAAGGGATTAGTTTGGAAAATGTTATGGAAAACTGGCTTACAAAGACTTCTTATCCACTTGTCATAGCGACAAGAGATTATGCAACAAATAAAATCACAGTGGCCCAGGTTAGTTAAAGAGTTGTGAAAAGGAATATTCCATCTATTGTTGACAGTCACTAAGTTACAGATCAGCCAAAACTTCTGTGTGCGCGGACAGGTCGCTACTAGCCGCACTAAAACAACGCTTGGTAGCAAGACAACATTTTTCGCTAAAATACCCCCGCCTAGATCCGACCAGTTATGGCCACCCACAGAAATTTTGGCCGAACTGTGCTTAACATTTACCCAACACATTCAATTTACCCTGTCCAACATGATGCAATTCAGTAATTTGTAATTGACTTTTGGATATTGGACATCCCATTTACATGGACCAGCTGTAACAAAATGTTTTGAAAAAGAACAATAATTAATGAACCACTTGCAGAGTTTGCGATTCTATTTTATTTGAAAATGTCATAAAATATGATATAGTACAATAAGTTACTATTTCAATTTGACTTGGTAAAAAGGTTGACGTATTTGTCACAAATCAGTAATCTACAATAGCACACTCTGCTGGTGGCTCAGTACAACTACGTCAATTTTTATTGGAAAACTGGTGGTAGCTTTAATAACATTGGGATGGAATGTATAGTTTTGTCAATACCACAAAGGGTAATATAATATATTTATCTATAATTAATATTCATGAAAAAGAACTGAAATTTTAAAATTTTCAATGGCCAATGATTGGTTCCTTATCTTGGATCTTCAACTTTTTATAGCAGCAGACATCCCATTCCCAATTTCGAGATATGCTAGTCTTAGAATAAAAGCAGAACTAGTTAAATTGAGCCAGATACAGAGGCTCATTTCTGTCGAATACACAAACATTTTAACCAAGTCCAGCTGAAATTGAAAAATATAGTTAAGCATAGTACATTTTGATGTCACGTGAAATATCCAACTCATATATATAGCAATAGCAAAACTTGGGGAGAAAATATAATTGGTACAGTAACACACTCTGTGAGATGTCTATTAAACTATAATACTGCTAATAGTTGAAAATTAACCTTTCTTTTAGACAATAAAGACTAATTCTTTATTGAAATATTCCTAGAGAACATTCATGAAGTTACAATTAATTAGGTTGTATTTGTTTATTACTATGGCTTGTTATTCAGGAACTCATGCTTTCATTGATTATAAATGGAAATAAACTCATTTGTTAATTTATTCAAACTCATCTTATGACTAAAGGTCGGTCCAGACTTCTTGAACAGTCTGGGTTGGGGTTGTCTTCTCTTAACGTGCTTTTAGGTGTGTTGCTTTCTGTTTTAGCAACTTTATGTAATTGAAGAAAACCCTTCAGAGCACAAAGATTGTTGGTGGATACCGCTTACTTATTCAACGTCCCAAAAGCCTGAGTTTAGTAATACCAAGCCTGAGAATTGGCTTAGTTGTGATGAGAGAACAATGACTTTTGAGATCGAAGCTACGGACAAGGAATGGGTTATTTTAAATAATAAAATGGCAGGTAATAATTCATTTTTAATTAAAATCCTTAATAATTGATCTACAGTTAGGAATAATTCAGATATGTATTATGGCAGCTTACTAATGTATAAATAAATTAAGTTTGCACGAAAACACATTGAATAAGAAGATTGCTACTTTTGGTTATTGTTTCTATTTCATATCTGTGTTAAGAGTAAAATTTGCTGAGATCAGCAACACAGTATGAAAAGATTCAAATGAATATAATGACAATGATAATAATTTTCATAAAATCCAGACTTCAGATTTTTACAACTTCAGAAACAATCTGTTCAACAATCCAAGCTGTAAAAAGATTTTTTCAAACTATTCAACGATGCATATCCCTTTGGTTGAAAGTTTACTGGTCAATAAAAAAAACACACAAACACTCTGAGAAAACACTACATAGTCGATTGCCACATTGGACTAAGGCCTGAATCTGGGCTGAAAAGTAAAAAGTAGATATAGTCGTAAAATTTTGGTAATATGATACTCCTAGCTACTTAAATTCTTTAGTAATTTTGAAACCATCCCATAACATGCAGTGTTGAATTGTTGGGCTCTGCTACTCTCCCAATTTTCATATTGTTATTTTTATCTTCATTTACCTGTAATATTTCAGTGTTTCTTTTAAAAATACTTGTGCTAATGCTTCCAGGTCACTTATACTCTCGGCTATTTGTGCTACGTCATCAGCATATGCTAACTCATTTATTTTTCCATGGATAAACAAATCTGACACATTACTTGTTTTTCAGGTTTATACAGAATAAAATATGATACTAAAAACTGGGATTTGATAGCAGCTGCTTTGAAACAACCAGACTTCAACAAAATAGACGAGCTGAATAGAGTTCAGCTACTGACTGATTCATGGGATATGTTTACTCATGAGCTGAACTACAAAACAGCTTTTGGAATAATTAATTATTTAAAGCAGGAAACAGATTATTTGCCTTGGAGGGTTGCTCTTGACAGAATTAAAATTGTTGGAGAAAAAATAGCCAGGATGGCTGACTATGATGTTTTTGAGGTGAGTTTGTTTGTTTCTGGTTGACGTTGACACAATTACTCTTGAGATTTCTGATTTACTGTACAGTTATATTGAATAAGTTTAAACACAGATTTAAATTGATTTATTCACAAATAGTTAAAGTGTGTAATAAAAATATTAAAAATGTTCTTAATAAATAAACTATCTATGAGCAAAACATAGGTTAGTAAGGATCTTAAACAGGTAGTATAACCACAGTACGGTTCTTCTGAGTAATACCCAAGCATAATGATTCAGGGGGTTACTTTAGAACCTAAGGTACTTGGGTCCTACCCACCTTGGCGAAGAATATGAGCCCTAAGAGAATGAGTTGAGCCTCCGGTTAGAACAATTAGGGACTGCTGCTGTGAAGTTCACACCAGGAGGATGTGCAGTTGGGGGTGGATGCGGAAATTACTGTTGTTGGGGGAGGGTTTCATAATAGAGGGGGTCCAGGGTGTATTGAAGAGAAGAGTTTGAAAGCTCCGTATAGAAAGTATCAGGAATTTACAAGTGCTATCTTTGAATTAAGGTCTTATACGAGCTCCCGTAACGGCCAAGAGAGCAAGTAGACATCTGAGAGCAACACCAATTTATCCACTGCTACTCTAGCTGGTTTCCACCCAAGTGCAATAAATTATTAGTTCCAAGTATGAAGAGTGGAGGTGTCCATTTGTTGATTGGAGGCGTCAATTGCTATTCAAGTCCATCACCAGTTGATAGGCGTGAAACAATTTAAGCTGTATAAATTGTGGGGAGGATTGAAGGGAGATCAGAGAGGGTTGTGAACATTCACAAGATGTCCTCAGAAAATTCCTCTTGTGTTCATGGAGTGCCCAAAAGTTGATAGTTTGCATCGCTGTTTTCTTGGCCATACCACAGTATGGTTTGGGTGCTGTGAAAGTTGCAGATGACCTAGTTGGTCATCAAGTGTTTCAATGGGATCTCAAATGTGACTTTTTACGGACCACCCTTGATTTTTTCCTTATTTACCTAGTGAGTTTTGTCAGTCTGGAGAGGAGCGCAGGACCATTTACCACTCGTCGTGTCACTTAGAATTTGGGATCGTGATTTTAATTTCTTAAAAACAGCTGATGATTCATTTTAAGAATTGCACAAACTCTCAGTCTAAAAAAATAATAATTTTAAAATTCTAAATGATAAAATTATAGTTCTAAAATTGCAATGATTTTCAAAAAATGTTGTGACCAAAATATATTTTAAAACCCGCATAAGGAAACAGAATGATGCTATCACACAAATACTTTTGATACTCTTATTGCTCTTTGCAGTGTGTTTATGTAATCAGGCCCGGTCTGGCTCCATTGGAGGCCCTCGGCTAGATGTTGATTTGAGGCCCCCAGCCAGAAATAAAACAAGGACCATGGGGTGCTCTCACGGCAAAAATTAGTTAGCATATATGTTTGCTGCATGCCGCAGGTGCATAAAAGGGGCCTAATGTGGTTTTAAATGATTTAAAGTTTTTGATAATTTTGATTAAATTAATAATTGCTAAATTTCCATAAATTAAAATCTTTGTATGTATAAATTTAATTCCAAGGTATCAATCAATTTAAATTTGATATAAAATTTGCTCGTATTTCTATTCACCTCTACAGCTGCCATAAAATTTAAAGGCCTATTCATAAACTTGTTTTAAGTCTTCAATTTAAAAATAAGACCAAAACCTAGTTCTTGGAGTTTTTGCCATACATGGTAAAAAAGGATATCACGTACCACTTTTGAATTTTGAATACATCTATGAATGGGCCACATTTACTGTTTATTACACACTTTACTCCATAGTTGTACTTCAGCAACAAAGACAAACAGAAATAATCAAAAGTATTTTAATTTAAACGTTATAAGGCTTACAAAAAAGTTCTGATGATTTCTGCCTGCCTGTTTGCAATTTCTCATTGTTAGCAGAATCGGAACTGAAACCAGCTAACCTGCTAACCATAAGTTCAAACAGTTTGACTTTAATTTGTTTTATTTTGAAATATTTCCTATCCATTTTTATTTTACTTGCGCCACTTGGGTGCACACGTTTCATTTTATAAACTGAACGATTCACGTGTTAGTTATCTTTTAAACAATACGTCATAACACACTACGTATGAATGACTGGAAACAGTCGTCGGTGATTAAACTAGTCGTATCACCATACTCGACCTTTTGGTGTTGAGATGAGGCTGACTGGTCGAATAAAATCAGTTGTAAATAAACTGACAGATAGGAATTGGGAACAGTTTTTAGGTATGATACATAAAATGTAATTGCATTTATTTTTGTTGTTTTAAAGAAATGTAAAATTGCCAAGACACTGTGTTTTATATACTGATGATTTAGATTTTAATGCCTGTAGTAAAATCTGTTTTAAAAACCAGGTAACAAATAAATAGGAATATTTGTTATACTGAGTAAGAGACATTAGGCCTACTGAATAATTTAAATCTTGCAGTCATGTAATAAACTAAAAATTTTTAATTAATTGTAAATGTTGTCATTCTATTACGTTTTATACCAAAGTTACAAAACATTAATGTAAATGACAACAAACAATAGGAATCAAGCGGGAAAACTCCAATGTTTAAAGTAAAATTATATTCGATAATTTTCTTTGCAATGACTGAAACCACTGCACCGATTGAACGCCACCAGTTGTTGTTATAATGGAATTCTCTCGGTTTTTCATTCGACTGAAAAAAAAACCACTGGTTTTAAAAACAACCGATTGACAAATTGACTAGTCGATAGTTTTTTCCAGTCGGTTGTCCCATCACTATACTAGTACAAGCGCTAGACCCCGTTTATGCACCAAGAGCGGGAGCGGTAGCGACAGCGGGAGCAATTTCTAACACCATTGAGTTAAATGGGGCTGTTTATGCACCATGAGCGATAGCGATAGCGGTTGACCCACCGCTGCGGTTTCTAATTCGCCCGCTGTGTAGTTAGAAATCGCAGCGGTTGCTTGGGATAGAGCGGTTTTCAACTACATTGAGTCAAATGGGACTGTTGATGCACGGCGGGAGCGGGAGCGGCTGAAGCCAGGGTTGCCAACTTGACCCACGCGCACGTGCACTTAGGACAAATAGTTGTGTTAATTATTTGGCAGAGTTTGAGTTGGCAAGACTGTGTCCCCCTTCCATTCTCCTTTAACCAACCGCTATCGCTATCGCTCTTCGTGCATAAACAGTCCCATTCACAGCGGGAGCGGGCCCGCTATCGCCCCGCTCCCGCTCTTGGTGCTTAAACGGGGCCTTAAGCTGTCTGCTTGAGTCCAGACACCACACCAGACATATCACAGACGCGCCGGCACGGCAATGTCTCGTCACTACCGCGGAGCGCTGGGCACTGAGCTGATTCGAACGGTGCGTTGCAGTGAGATCGGTGACTATCCTCTAGTACCGAGTGACTATCACTGTGTACTTAGGGGCAACCCCTAACTGTAATTCAATTTAAAAAAGAGTATTGTTTATTAAAAATTGTTTTTGCAAGACTACGTCGCTGTGAAATAGTTAAACAAATATTTTTTTATTATAACTAAATTTTTTTAAATTGATTTTTTGGCTTTTGGAGGCCCCCTTGAGCCGGAGGCCCTCGGGGATCGCCGACCAGCCGCCCTGGCCAGACTGGGCCTGTATGTAATTGTTATTTGTCTGATTAGATTGAATTGAAATACTAAATAAAATATAATTACTCACAAATTATTATCATAATAAAGTAAGTTTCAATCAATTCTTAATAGACAATATTCTTTATTAACATATTGGTTGAGAATAACACAGCGTCATATTTACAGGTATAGGTTACAGAAAAATTTCATATTTCAAGGTCATGAGATGAATTCTTTTTTGGTGTAGGGTTCTTTAGCAGCCAGTCTGTGAGTTTTTTCTTGAAAGTGGATGAATTATTCTGTTGTTTAAGTTGTTCTGGAAGGAGGTTATAGTATTTATTTAGCTCCTTTGTAGGATAGTTTTCTTTCAGTAAATGATAGCTTATGGATTGGAAGGGTGAAACCTAGTGCATGTCTGGTGTTGTGATGTAGGTCCCTATGTCTGGATTGTTGGGTGGCTATTGCATGTGAATGGTTTGATGGATGTGGATTGACACCACGGTGAGTATTTTTTGTCCTTTGAACGGTCCACGGCAGCTGTCTTGTTGTCCAATGCCAACCAAACACCTGATTGCCCTCTTTTTTTGGACGAGAACGCCTTCTAGGTTGAATGCAGTGGATCCCCCCCCCCCCAAACTTCTATGCCATATCTCAGGTGAGATCCAAAAAGTGTGAAATAGGCTACCTTCGCTGCATCTGTTCCACTTATTTGTTTTATTCTTACAGAAATACATGGCAAATTTGATGACCAAAGTTTATGAAAAAGCCAACGAATTGAGTAAATCTAATGATGGGAAAACAGACATAGTACAAATAAACTACATCATGATAGCAGCTTGTGAATACAACATACCTGAATGTAATAAGAAAGCTAAAGAACTGTATCTAAAATGGAAAGAAACCCAGATTAAGTACCATAAGTAAGTGCTATTTAATTTATGGTATTTACTTAATTGAACACTGGCCTTTGAAAATGTATTGGTCATAAATTCAACCAATTCAAAAATACCTTACATACATTTTTACTTTTTTGTAAAGGTAGAGCCATGAATTGTGAAGATACTTGATATTGGCGATCACGACTGAATGTTACTGATGGTAAACATAAATACCCCCGCTGCAGCAAACCTGCCGACTAAACGAATTTCCATTTGCCTGGATGATTTTCAATTAAGCTATTAAATTAACATTTATGTTTAACGAGTACCTGGTTAGCTGCTACAGGGAAACTAATAATGTGTGTTTTTATTAAAACATCAATAGCTTAGTATGAAATAAATAAATCCGCCAGGTTTGATCAAAATATATCCATAAAGAAGCCAACTACAAAATTTTGCAATATTCTCCATAAGAATAACATGGGAATTTTAAATTAACAATTTTTTGAATTTTCTCCGTAACCATTCACCATACAAAAACACTTTGATATACTAAATTATTTGTTTTTTAAGCTCTTTAAAAAGGTCTGGAGAAAAATTGATAAATTTTGTGTTTTAAGGATAAAAAATTAGTTAAACCTCGTTCCCATGGTTCGATCATGCTGGATCGCGAACTCATTCAAGTTTATCCCGCCTTACACCTTCAAACCAAATTTTATCAAAATCGGACAAAAATTACTCGAGTTATCGTACAGACGGACACACATACTGTATATATATATCTATAATAGATATATATATACATATAAAAATTTGAACGAATGGTGTTTTTGGCCTCTGGGGACATCAAAATGAAAAAGTAAATCGGTCCCAGGCCTAGGTCTTACCATGAGACCTACGGTAATAGCTACTTCCCTATAGGGAAATTCGCTAAAACCGCTATAAACAACTGGAAAATTTCCAACTAACAGTTCCTAAAGCTGTTATGCTTTTTGTTTTATACTCTTTTATGATCCTTTTACATCAAATTTAAAAGAAATCAAAATTTTCTTTATAATTTCCTCCTTAGAACAATCACTGATTAAAAGATCAATAAATATATAGGAAGGTTTTGCATTTTGTACACAAAAAACTCCAATTACTATAAGAGATCCTCCTTAAGACTCCAGATTTCCCACTTAAATGTGGCTTAAGCATTTCAACATAGATTTATGTTTAAAATTATGGTTCAAATAATATTTTTCTTATGTTCCTGGATCGATTATAATGGACGATCTTTGACCAGCTGAATTTGTGTTGTTCAAAACTATGGTAACTTTATCTAATCTTATAATTAGTTTTGGTGTTTTTTTATTGGAAATATAAAAAAAAACCTTAAATCATCCCATTTTTAAACGCTCACCCTTGCTTTAATTTTTGACAAAATTTCATGATTAAAGTGTCAAATTACTGGAAATTTTGTCAAGATTTCCAGAATATCAGTTATATTTCCTTTGGGCGGATAGGATTCGCCCCATTTCGCATACTAATTTACATGTATTTCTTATGGAAGGAGTATTTTAATAAGATATCAATTAAATAAGTTATAACTCGTAATCTGTTGAACCAAAATAAACACATTATATACTTTTCTTGTAGAAAATTTAATCTTCTTCAATTTTATATTTTACTATAGTATACAAAAAGTTGATAGTTTTCGAGATATAATCAAAAAACCTAAAATGCGTACCTTTTTCCCCCCCTTTTTCCCCCTCCACCCCTAGGAGTCAGGACTTTTGGTATGTTAACACCCTAAGCCCCCTGAACAAGTTTCTGAAGGAATCGCTTAGTTACCTGCTCACGCACTCTACACCTACTTTTGGATTATTCATTGACTGGACTATATGCTTGTATATTTGAATGCTTAATTATTTAATTTAAACACATGATTGATATTTTACTTCTTCAGATTACCTATAAATACACTTCAAGATCTCAGACCCATGGTATTCTGCAAAGGAGTTCAGAGCGGTGATTTGGAGTTCATGCTGAAATATCACAGAGGAACTACAAATGAAGATGAAGAAGCTGATCAAGTCCTACATGCTTTAAGCTGCTCAGAAAACCCTGAAGAACTCAAAAGGTTTGTGAAAATTAATAATTGTTAGTGGAATTTGGCTTTTACTATTTGGAAATTTTTCATCACTTTTTATAAAATTTTTTAGTTTATCCCAGCAAACAAACAATTCTCTCTACACAATTCACTATCTTGCATTTTAGAAATATCTTGTAAATAGATATTCAAGATAAAATTTGTACAAACTTTTCCTGAACGTGATGTTGTAATAAGTTTTTCAGGGTTTCCAGTAACAGGGGGAGCTAAGGATTTTCTGTATTTTAAAAGCACACAACTGTATAGTTTCAACAGAATATTACCCCCGCTGCAGCATACCCGCAGACTAAGCGAATTTCCATTTGTCTGGCTAGATTTCCACTAAAATAAAAAACCTTTAAGACTGTCAGATTTATTTCCCATTTAAAATAACATTAATTTTAATGAGTTAATAGATTTGCTACTACAGGGAAGGTGTGTTTTATTATTGAAATCTTGATAGTTTATTATTAAATAAGCAAATTTGACTATAATATATCCATAAACAAGCAAAGTACAGCAGTTTATTTATTCTACATAAGAATAACATGAGAATTTTAAATTTTATACTTTTATGAAATTTCTCTGTAACCGTTAGACATACAACAACGCTTAAATGTGCAAAGATTTTTTTAAAGCCCTACTAAATAGTTTGGGGGAAAATCGGAAAATGTTATGTTTTCAGACCAAAAATGTCAATAATTAGAAAAACCAATTTTTAACTCATAAAACTCTCCTTAAACCCCAGTTCCCATACCGATCATGCTGGTTCGCGACCACGTTTAAATAAACATAGGTTTACATGTTTTACCGATTTAATCAAAGTTGGATCAGTTTTGCTCGAGTTTGCTTACGCTTACGGATACATATATAAACGGACACAACTCTGGCCCTTATACCAGAGGCTTGTATTACTATAGGAGCGCCTTCCGTCAGTTGAGCCAAATCCCCAAGTCTTAGGTAGGAGTTACATGCGCCAGAAATAAAAACGGACTCCCAAGTATAATTGCTCACTTTTGCCAGTCAGTGGCATCTTTTGTAAAATATATCTTTGATTAAATTATATGTCAGTACTAGGCCCGTAGTTTGCATGTGACATGCTATGGGCCCGAGAGATACAGGGTGACACAAAGGAACCGGACGTTTTTTAAACAGCTGTTCCATTGTTGTCGCACGTGGTAGGAAGATTGAGGTTATGTCATTACCTTCAGTGAGGCTTGCCATTTTTGTTGAAATGGCTTAGTGGACCCTAGACCATCGAGTTTTCGCATACGATACTTTTGTCCAAAATGGCGAATCTATCATCAAAACCCAGCGGGAATTTCGTCAACATTTTAATATTGAACTCCATGGAACGGTTCCAAGCCGAAATACGCTATTAAGATGGGTTTCAGGTTTCAGGGTTCCAAACAACTGGGAATATAACAAGAAAGAAACCACCAGGCCTTGTTAGAACTTTGTGAACACCCGAAAATATTACCAGAGTGAGAGCAGCATTGGATCATAAGGAGTCCAAGGGACCATTTTTTCGAGGAAAATGGTGTAACAGTGACAGTGAGCTCTCAACGCTATGTTCACATGTTGAACACATTTCTTTGTCAAGAAGTTAGCAGATGTCAAATAAACCGAAAAAGGGTATATTTCAACAGGACGGTGCTACAGCCCACACTGCAGACCAATCAATGAGATTCTTGAGGCAAATGTTTCCGGACAAGGTGATTTCTCGCTTTGGTGACATACCGTGGCCGTCAGTAAGGACAGCTGTGATTACTTCCTTTGGGGATTTCTTAAAGGAGCGTGTTTATGATCACAAACCATGTACTCCAGAGGTTTTGACGTTGGCAATCACAGAAAAAATCAATGGCATTGAACAAGACCTCCTGAGCCGAGTTTCAGATGATTTTTAGACCAGAATGAACATTCTAGAGAAGTACATGGTCACCATATGCGTGAAGTTATTTTCAAAAAATGACTTTTTGGCAAAAAATGGCAAATGTTTACCTTACTATGTACAGTATTAAAACCATTTTATTCCTTTTAACTACTGTGTACTACTTATTTAAAAAACGTCCGGTTCCTTTGTGTCACCCTGTATTTGCGCCCCCTCCACCCCTTCATTGCCAAGGGATTATTCTCTTTGCGCTCCCAAGCAAATCTTAAAATTCTTGCCCCCTTGGGCTCATTTACTATAGCGGTAAACTATCCCCTCTGGTCAATACATTATATAAATTACAGGAAATGTTGTTTTTTATTTAGCTACTAGCACAAACTGATAAGAACTTTGGCCATTAATTGTGTTAATTTTTTTGTAACAACACAGAATAAGGGATATTCTCTGATAAATAGAAGATTTGAATGGGTGAAACTTTTACCTCGCCCATTCACAAAAGATGTAACTAACTCATGGAATGATGATGTAAGTTATTGATATATGTCTTATCTGCTGACTAGGTAATTCTGCGACAATGTTTTCTAAGTGAATACAACGTTTAACCTGAATTCTATGCTAACATTCTCACTCATTGAACTATAGGATGTCTAAAGTACTGTGTATTCCACTTTTTAAACTTTATCTTCATATAGGCAGTTTAGGTTGTTAGGTTGTTGTGTAGCCCATGGCCCATGGTGTTAAGCGCATTACTACAAATTTCACATGCAATTAATTTGATTCATTTTTTATAAAGACTACAGAAGATTAAATTATAACCATAAAGATATTACTCACAGAGTTCAAGCTGCTTATTTCTTCACTCAAACTCCAAGTATATCTAGGATTAGTGTCGACGGGTAGGATTAGTGGTTCTACCTAGGCTATATCTGGCCTCAATTTGGCGGAAACGAGTAAGAGGCTTGTGTTATCCTTGCAAACTCTTTTGGAGGGTTTGAAATTCGGTGCAAACCAAGTACAACCGTTTGTATGTTTAGAACTGAAAATGTTTCAGGTACCTTGACTGGTCGATTTCTGACAAATCTATGATAATACCTCAGTTCTGTATTGATGCTTTTAACCATGTTGTGAAAACCAGAATTGGTTATTCTATCGCCTATGAGTTTTTCTTCAGGAACTTCAAAGAGATTTATGAGTGAGTAAAGTTAATTTAATTTAAGCTTTTGCTGTTTGCTCTTTTCCTGTTTGACTGTATTAAAGAGCAAACTAACGCATAGTGTAAATAAAAGACAATGTAAATATTTTAATAGTTGTATATGTCACAACATATTTTATTATAACTATGTTAAGGAGGATAAATAAAATGAGATTTCAACAGAAGAAATTAACTAAAATAACATGTTTTGAAGCTATTATTGTGGAAAAGATGGTAGTGAATTTTTGGCCCACTTAATTTGGAAAAGGTTTAAACCTACGGCTAGATTCATAATGAAAGCATTGAGATCAAAATGTTTTAGAACATCATTACGTGAAAATATGTTGAAAAATGTTCTAATCAATGTAAAAATCCTGAAAGGGCCAAAAATTGTTCAAAAATAAAACCAGAATGGTGTAAAAATCACAACTTTCCCAATTTAACTTTAGTTAAAACATCATTAGAGAATGATAAAAAAATATGGGGACATAATTTATGCAATGATTCCTTGGGTGAAAATAAAAATAAAATCACGAATAAAACTTTTTAAAAATCACTTTGCCAAGATATCCGCCGTTTTGTATTTTTTACATAAACATTTTAAATCTTTAAATTGCTTCAACCGATCTTTATGAAAATTGGTATGTATGTTAAGGCCGGGCGCACACTTGATGCGGCACGGCGCGACGTTTTGCCTTAAGGCGCCTTATGCGACTAGATTTCTATTATTTTCAAATGGGGGTGCCGCAGACATCATGGGGCATGGCAAGGCAAGGCAAAACAGCGCCGTACGGCGCTTTGTTCTGCCTTTTCAATTTTCGTCTTTCGGGCAAAAGGCTTGAGGCAAAACGATGTGCGCATGCGCGAGGATCGTCACCACGTTCAGCGCAGTGACAGCCCCTGTCAAAACCGGTGTGCACTTCCAACGATTAGTAATTATGATTTTTTTCCGGATCTGCTCTTAGTTCTGCAATGAATGGTTTCAAGTCCTTTTTTGGTTGATGGGATGCACCAGCGATTCTCTGTTAGGGAGATCATCCATTACATTCATTAGGTACCATCATTGACTATATAAACACAACAGTCAATGGTACCATATAGCAGCGATGGCAGCAGCCTCTTCTTCGCCTTCTGCATCCATTCTTACAAAATGTGTAGTACAAAGTGTCACAAAATGTACAAACAGCCTCATAACACACAGTATCTCACTTTACTGAAACCATGGGATCGACCATGTGGGTGTTCAAGTCGCCTTGCCGTGCCGTGCCGTATGCATCTCAAATCTCCATCGGGCACGGCAAGGCGAGGCAAAGACGTCTCGCCTCGCCTTGCCGTGCCGTGCTGTATCAGGTGTGCGGCCGGCCTAAGGTAGAAGGGTCTGGAAAAAAGTTAATTTGTTCCAAATTTATAATTTAAAAATGGCCATTTAATTTGTTAAATTTAAATTACTAAAAAATCTGATGGAAAAATGTTAGGAACACTTTTATTTAGCATTTACAATTTCCTATCAAATAACAAGTTCAAGAATCTTCAGCATATCTTATACACTCATTGCTTCTGTTTTCAGACATGCTGGTCGAGGGGTTGGTATCCTTAACATGTACATGGCTTCCCTAATTGACCAAGTTACTTCTGAGGAGGAATTAGAAAAGGTACCATTACTGTAATAAAAATATATATTGGGCAGTAGAAAAATAGCAAAAATTTCATACCATTTATAATTGGCTTGTTTTGGTCACACATCAATACAAAGATGGTACACAACAGCAATCTCTTCACTTATTGCAGCTTTCAAAAGATTTGATAGGGTTTGACTACTTCTACTGCAAGATACTTCCAGTTTTTCCAAGAAAAGTCAACCCAATACAATTTGCCGAACAATGAACTGTGCTGTGTGCTGGGAACAGACTGTGATACATATTCATTTTTTTATGTTCAACAGCGATCTTTATGGACCAGTGTTCCACTGCTACTATAAGAACTGAGAACTCAAAAAATCCTACAACCCTACATTCCATTTTAAACCACTTATCCCAAGTTAAATCCATGCTTCTTTTTGCACAACTCTTTACATTCATGGGGTGTTATAGAGATCACCTTAAGCTGCATGCCTATCTTATAATGTAGGCTGTTTAGGCAATGAAAACGTTCTCTGTACGATAATTTTAAGAATCAACCACAAGTATAAATGGAGGGTAATGGTAGGGAACTTGTTAAATTACTAACCATATCAAACAAACTACAAATTTGTGGAATACCATTTAAGCTCTTATGCAATGAAATATAAAGGATGTTAAAGATATGATATTAAAAGTTCATGTTGAATGTAATTTATTTCAAACAAATTATTGTGAACTTGAACATTTTTACTAAATTATGTAATAACTATTTCACCTTGGAAAGAGACTTGTTTTGCCATAAATCCTGATCAATTCAGTTGAGTAAAAAAACACATTTTCAACATTATTTCTGTTTCAGTTGAAGGTCGATATCAAGAAAGTCGAAGCAGCAGTCGAGAGGTTGAATGATGTTGATGAGGATCTGGAAGACAGTTTCAGTGAAGCTCGGGCTAGATTTGATTGGCTGAAAAAGCATTACCCACCTTTGATTGAAGCAATCAAAGAGCAGTCTAATCTTTAATATAAAAGGTTTATCTCAATGTGCACTTTATTTAACCTTTGAATCAAGCAACATATTAATACTTAGAAATGCAATTGGTTGGAGTGAGGATGTTTACTCATAAGTGTAACTCGGAATTTAAGTGGGGATGGATCCTGGAACATCTAAAATCGTTATAGGACCTATAGGGTTTTAAAGACGTAAAATCCTTTAGTTCCAATTTGTACATACTCGTCCTTTGTTTATAATGGAGGGAACTTCGGTTCCAAAAAATGTAGGATTTCGCCTTCCAGAAAATACACTGTACTGTATTCTCAAAACTGAGATGTTTTTTTTTTAATAAATTTTAAATGTCTCCATTTTTTTTACATTAAAGATTATTTTAATTGTTTAGTTATGTAAGATAATAAAACTAAATCAATCAACTAATTTTTTATGTTTCATTTAAAATTTCTATCTCTTTCTCTAGTTTTTATCGCCAAGTCGGCTCCATTCAACAATTGAACGTCAATGAGTATTTCTAAACCAAAAAAATAAGTAACCAAACCGAATAAATACTAATTGTAATAAGCCCTTCTTGTTTAAATAAACATATGATTCTGTTCACATATCTTTGTAAGGGTAAAGACAATTAGCTCACAACTTGTCGGGGTCTAAAATCTAAAAAATATACAGTATGGAGAGTATCTGTTTTTAAAATGTTCAAAGTAAGGATTGTACATGTAAGTATTTACACTCCAAGATATCTAGCCTACAAACTTTATTTCCCTATATAAATGCACATTGATATTTCTGATTAGGGAATTTTCCTAAAGAGAAGTAGCTATTACTGTTGGTGGCGTGATCTCACTATTTTATTTATCAACATTTTTACGTTATGTGCATCCGTGAACACAATAACTCGAGTATTTTTGGTCCGATTGTGATGACATTTGGCATGAGTGTGTAGTTTGAGATAAACTTGAATAAGTCCGGAATCAGTAATATCGTGTAGAGCTAAAAAAAAACAAATAAATTATTTCGGTGTAGGCCTTACTTACCTTTGGTTGGACCTTAAACTTATCTAATTGGAATATACCTTAAGTTGTATTGGTGTTTATTTAAATTTTATTGCTCTAGAGTTACATAGCAATGTATTCACACAAAACAGTACATTTCACCCTAATTTTGTAAGTTATAAGGATTTAATTTTTTTCTGTAAACTTTTTGTTTATAAATTCATGTTGATTTCATTATTTTCAGGTAGAATTTTTATATTTTACAAAATAAAAACTCTTGTGAGTTTCGTGTAGAAAAAAACAAAAGTACTCATTGGGGCTAAATTAATGTGTATCAAAGTGTTGAATTCCTTTTATAATATATTTTTAACAAAATCTCAATCATGCCATTTGAACTTTCTAAGTCTGTAGGTTTGCCACAACAGGGATATTTTCCTATGCTGAATTGTGTTTCTGTCTACAACCTTTTATCTTAGGGCTAGTATCTCTATAGCCTATATATGGGTGAGGAAAATAAAAAAACAATTTTAAAAACCCATGATTTATATATGATTCAAGATAAATATATTTTATTTATTAGTATCAAAACTCAAAACATAAATTAAACCAAGAAACATGATAATAAATAGTATAAATTTATAGACCTACAGTAGCATACAGGGTGTTCAAAAAAGGCAGGGTGACGTAGTGATTCCTTGGGTCAAAATGAAGAGAAAATCAAGAATAAAATTTTTCCCAAAATAAAAAAAAATTCTGAAAGAATGTCAAGAAACACTTTTATTTAGCATTTTTAATTCCGTATTAAATGATATCAAGTTAAAAAAGATTGAATACAAAATAGCTTAAATATTACAATTTTAGTTGTCAAATGGGGCAAACCTGACTAGCTTCTGCCTTATTCCACACCATTTTAAAACTAAAAAACTACAAAATATTACAACAACCAATTCAATTATTCAAATATACTAAATAAATGAATACTGGCAAAATAAAGTGCTCTTGTAAATGCACAAGTAAAGAAAACTGTGTTTTTTTACACATCAATATAAAATCATATCAAATACTGATTAGACATTTATTTATAGTCCGCCTGTTTGGCTATGATACCCAGCGGATTAGGTACCTTCTCGGAACTCAACTCACCCTATCGACCCGTTCGTCGGGCTGGTCGTAAACAAACAGTGACTCGCCCACTGTCACAGTCACACAGATCTGAAATTTTTTTTATTTTAAGTTAAAATAAAAAAATTACAGATTTCTGGGACTGAGACAGTAGGTAGGTAAACTTTTTATCAACGGCCGGCCTGGCAAAGCAAGTTGGAAGGGTGTGTTGAGTTCCGAGAAATTTTCTAATCTGCTGGGTAACATAGCCAAAAAGACGGAGTATTTATTTAATAAACAGAAATGTCAAAAATAGATTAATATCACTATGTGATGTTTTTTTCTGTAAATGGAGAATATTTGAGAAATCTGAAAAATACAAAACATTACAAAAAATTAAAAAGCATGTTACTTATACATGTGTAGTATCTTGAAATAATACACAAATACAGAAGTAAATAAAACATTTTACTGTGATTTTTCCCTAAGTGTACTAAATTTATTACAGTAAACAAAAAAATGGCACATGAACAAGAGATAAACATAAATTATTGGTTTGATATCAATAATCTGATCTTAATCTTAAACAATGATTTTTCCAAGTGTACTGAATTTATAACAATTAGACAAAAGAAATGGCTCATGAAAATGAGATAAAAAATATAAATAAACTCAAAATTGCCTTCTTCGCAATAAAAAATCATACAGAGATTATTGGTTTAATATCAATAATCTGATCTTAATCTTAAACAATGATTTTTCCAAGTGTACTAAATTTATAACAATTAGACAAAAGAAATGGCTCATGAAAATGAGATAAAAAATATAACTAAACTTAAAATTGCCTTCTTCGCAATAAAAATCATACAAAGATTATTGGTTTGATATCAATAATCTGATCTTAATCAATGATTTTTTCCAAGTGTACTAAATTTATAATAATTAGACAAAAGAAATGGCTCATGAAAATGAGATAACAAATTAACAAATATAACTTAACTTAGAATTACCTTCTCCGCTATGAAAAATCATATAAAGATTATTGGTTCGATATCAATAATCTGATCTTAATCTCAAACAATGATTTTTCCCTATAGTCCTCGCAACCCTAACTTGAGGCAGCCCAAGGCCGCACTAGGACTATAGTGTACTAAATTTGTAGCAATAAGACAAAAGAAATGGCTCATGAACATGAGATAAGAAATATAACTTAACTTATACAGGGTTAGGCAAAAATCTGGAACCCCCCAGTTAACTTTTTAACGTGTTGCAGTAGGAAAACCAAACTTGGCACATATTTACAACATAAGAAATTGCACGTTTTGATCAAAGTTACAACTTTGCCCCAGTCTCAAATTTTCAAATGTATACACCTATCATGAGACCCCTCATTTTAAAGGGTTTATCAAGGTTTTTTATAAAGGTATGCTGAGTTTAGTTTTCCTGCTATAACCTGTTAAAAAGTTAATAGGGAATATTTAAAAATGACTACCATTTTGATTAGGGGTGCGATATTGACCTCTAGTTTGCGCCATTTAATTTGTATTGAGAAACACTTTAAAATGAGGGGTCACATGATAGGTGTTTACATTTGAAAATTCGGGGCTGCCCCCAAAATACCCCATTTTGGGGGCCGGGTACAAGTTCTAACTTAAATGAAAAAATGCATTTTTAAATGTTGTAAACATGTGCCGAGTTTGGTTTTCCCACTGCCAAACGTTATAAAGTTAACTGGGGGGTTCCAGACTTTTGCCTTACCCTGTAATTGCCTTATTTGCTATGAAAAATCATACAAAAATTATTTATTAAAATGATACATTATCTGGTCTTAATCTCAAACAATGATTTTTCCCAAGTGTACTAAACTTATAACAATAAGACAAAAAATGATGCTCATGAACATGAAATAAAAAATACAACTTAACTTAGGATTGCCTTATTTGCTATGAAAAATCATACAAAGATTATTGGTTTTATGTACATAATCTGGTCTTAATCTTAAACAATGATTTTTCCCTAGTGTACTAAATTTAAAAAATAACTTAGAATTGTTTTTTTTTTCTATTTTAAATAATACAAAAATATTGGTTTGATATACATAATCTGATCTTAATCTTATACGGGGTGTTTCAGAATTTGTGTCGGATATTTTAGGGTACTATTCCTGGGTAAGAAACATATCCAAATATCATATTTAAACTGTCCGAAAGTCCTTAGTTACTCACACAGCCGCCATTTTGTTTTTTTTTTCACTTATTAATTATTGTTTTCTAAAAAGTGGTAAATGATACGAAATTGAAACTTTGCACAAACATTTATGACAACTAGACAAAGCAACAACAAAATTATGAGAATTTTTCAAATTCATATAGCAAAATGGCGGCCATTTAAAATTTTGTTTCTTAAATAACCCCAAAAACCGTTGATTTTACAACAATTTTACAAGGCTATTTAATTACAAATCTATGAATATTAACTGCGATATGGCAACTTTAGTAATACGTGACCGCTGGAGGTTAGTTGTAGTATATGCCGAGGCATGCGGCTAAACTCTGCCACAACAATGCAACAGTCTCCGTCAGCTTTGCAAGTTATTTTTAAGTGATTTTGGATTATTTCAAACCATAATAAAATATTACATAACCCCAAAAGGGTGACAGTTTTTATCAATTATTTGTCATTAGGATGGCTTAAAAATGGCACATGCACACCTCTTTACTGTCTTTAAAATTTTCACAAAACACCCAAACTTTTTATATCAGGAGTGGTGAAAGCAACGTACTTGTTTACAAACTAATCAGCTGATTTTATTGTTGCCTGAAAATGTTATCATTTATTCAATGTAGTAACAACAATAATAACATTTATACAATAATAACAATGATAACATTTTCAGGCAACAATAAAATCAACTGATAAGTTTGTAAACAAGTACGTTGCTTTCACCACTCCTGATATAAAAGGTTTGGGTGTTTTGTGTGAATTTTAAAGACAGTAAAAAGGTGTACAGTTTTTAAGCCATCCTAATGACAAATAATTGATAAAAAAGACACATTTGGGGATATGTAATATTTTGTTATTGTTCGAAATAATCTAAAATCACATAAAAATAACTTGACAAATCGGACGGAGACTGTTGCATTGTTGTGGCAGACTTTAGCCGCATGCCTCGGCATGTACTACGACTAACCTCCAGCGGTCACGTATTACTAAAGCTGCGATATCTCAGTTAATATTCGTCCAATCTTAACAAAAAGGTGTCAATCGATTTTTAATTAAATAGCCTTAAAAAAGTTATTCTTGTAAAATTGTAGTAAAACAACGGGTTTGGAGTTATTTAAGAAACAAAATTTTAAATGGCCGCCATTTCATTAAATTGTTGTAGCTTTGTTTAGTTGTCATAAATGTTTGTGCAAAGTTTCAATTTCGTATCTTTTACCACTTTTTTAGAAAACAATGAATAGGTGAAAATAACAAAATGGCGGCTGTGTGAGTAACTAAGGACTTTCGGACAATTTAAATATGATATTTGGATATGTTTCTTACCCAGGAATATTACCCTGAAATATCTGACACAAATTCTGCATAAAATACTAAAATAGTGATAGATTCATATTAAGTGAACACTAAACAGCTGATCACAGCTTCAGTCAACAGTGTTCTCGTTCTGGTATGGTGCACACACACTAGATTATTCAGAAGACTCTGGCGGGGGTGCAGTCGCTGTTGCCTCGGCTGTTTCCTCCACTGTAACACAAACAAAATGAAACACGCAGAGTACGGCTACATGAGGAATAATCAACCGGACACATTTGAATTATGTGTTTTTGAAATTTATTTTAATAATATCTGAACGAATAGTGTTTTTGGCCTATTGAGACACCAAAATGAAAAAGTAAATTAGTCCCGGGTCTAGGTCTTTCCATGCCAACTACGGTAAAAGGTTCTTCCCTATAGGGAAATTTGCTGAAGTGAAAAAAACTTTTTATTTCAGTGATGGATGTATATTTCTTACCTATCTCTTAACGAATATAGGGTGTCAGTCAGGTTAAGTGTAAGAACTTAGTCTTAATAAATACAGAATTTTTCATTTAATTTAATGTATTATACTAACAAGGACCTAAATTTAATGATCATATCATCATCCTATGCTTACATTTCAGATTTCTTCTGACTCTAGTGGGCCGTCTCCTGAGAGGGTAGCGTTATCACTGAATAATGTGTTAAAATGATTTTATTGCCCAGTAACTTTGTACCAAGTTTCGTAGCTCTATCGTGATTTTTTTGTTATATTTAACTGTCCGGGGACTTGAGCGAATAGTGTTTTTGTCCCCAAGGGTCATCCATCATAATGAAAAAGTATATCGGTCCCAGGTCTTCGTCTTACCAAGCAACCTACTTCCCTAAAGAGAAATTCGCTAAAATTAACAAATAACTTTATTTGAAAAAAAAAAACACATATGAACGAAATCATAGATCAAAACACAACTGTTTTACTGTAGGTAAAGTTCAACCAACCGGGTGAAGAAGCAACCCTCAACTTGAATTGTTTACTTCTACGGCCGGAAACTTAACATGCAAATTAAATTGTGTCAAAGGTCTTTCGCCTGTGACGATGTGACTTATCCCCATGAGATCATCCAAAGCCTAATTAGAGGAGTCTACAGTATATTGTTGGGAACAAATCATATTTACCTTCAGTGGATGTTGGAGGAAGAGCCTTCTTCCTCCGGCGTCATATGGGACTAGAACCGTAGCCCAATCTGAAGAAAGGGCGTTTTGTAGTGTGTATCTTCCTCGCCGAGAAGAGAAGTTTCTTCTTGTGCTTCTTTCTCTAAAGAAGCAAAATCAAGGTAAAGAAGGTTTAAGGACATATCTCTCATATGGACACTCTCAATTTGTGAGACCTCTATACAAATATAGTTGTATTTTAAAAATTAAATTAAAACTACTAGTTGTGAGTCAGCTCCTAACATGTCATTTAAGTTATAGAAAGTAATAAAAAAAATTACAATGAAATTAGGGTGGCACACCTAGTAGTTAGTATTTTGGATTTTGGTTCAATTCCTGTCACATCCACAAAACATTTGGGACCACTTGCCTTCAGTGTTTGAGTACACTGTGCAACCTCAGAAAAAATTTATGTCTAATGACCAATTGAAATAAAATGTCCAATTTTGAATTTCATTGACTAGGGATGAATACAATTTATAGAAATATCATATAACATTTTTTAAATCAATAAGATCAACTGAGAAAATAAATATTAGTATGTAAAATGAAGAAGAAGAACAGCTGTAAAATTGTTATGGAAATTGAGAATTGTCCCCTGAGAACTTTGTGCAATTACGGTGTGTATATCAATAAATACAGAATAGAATAAAGAGCTACTGTACTGTTTATTAAGTACAGCAATGAGGCGTTCGGATTAGTGGACGTTCGGATTAAGGGGGTTCTGATTAAAGAGGTTCTACTGTACACAACAACCTCTAATAATGGAAGGTAAGCTAGGCTATTACACGCAACAAAAACATTTTTAGATGAGAAATCTGATTCAACATTGGAAATAGAGTAATTTAACAAGTCGCAAACTGTCCATAAACCCTCTTTGATTTTCAGTAAGCTGAGATTCCTACCTTTTTCTTAGACCCCAATGGTGAAAGCTCTCCTTTTTCCTGTAACAAAAAAAATGAAAAATTGAAAATATAACTTTTTAAGTTTTTAGAACATATGATTCTAAGAAAAGACTGACAATTTCCAAGGACATGGAAAATAAAAAAGAGGCTTTCAGGGCATTTTTGCGGATAATGATAATCGTTTTAAAATCAAAGTGATAATATTTTTATTCGTAACACTAATTTTTAGTACAGATGAAATTTGTATTTTATTATAGTTTATTCTATTTTTTACTCGCCATAAAAACCTCAAAAAAAGCATTTTTATTACAATATTTGACTGAAATACACTAGAAACATCTCACCACATTAAAACACAAGATTCATCAACTGCAAGATCACCGCTTTCATACTTTTGTGGGATTCCAATTCCTGCCACCAATTTACTACTTAATTTAACTGGATGAAAAAAACCCTGCAAAAACACTGTTACTAAGGAAACTGGAGAATTGGAAAGTATAAATGAAACTCTAAATTGAACTAACCGCAAGCTGTATAATTGTGGCCCCTGAGTAATATATAGTATAGTACCAAAACATCATACTCACAGGTTTAGCAGAACTCTGTCTAATTATCCTCTCCTTCTCAAATGTTGGTAACTCTTCAAATTGTTTAAGTCCGAATCTTCGATAGCGCAGCAGCTCCGCCAGCCGACGGGAGAGTTTGCGCTGAGCCATTGCATACTCCATGAATTGTTCATGCTCTTGAGAAGTGTGGTACTTGCAAAAAGGAAGCAGTTTCTCCTTAAAAGCTCTGAAATACATTTGAAGTTTAGGCTACGGTTACTATGGGTGTGTTTACTGACACAATTTGGTTCTGACAATTTCGTACAAAGTCATAAAAACAACTGCATGTTATCTAATATGCGTTTATAGTGGCAGAAACTTGGACGTCAGAATAGACATGAAGTCGTCAGAACCATTTGAGCGTTCAAACAAGTTGGATTTTTTCATGCGAATGTTTGCACCTGCGAATTTAGTGCACTGAATTTAGATTATTTCACCATGAATAATTATAAAAATTACCACAACAGAGATATTGCTTGTTAAATAACATTTCAAACTCTCCTTTCTCGTCTCTACTAACAAATATCTGGTCAACATGCTTTTTTTGCACTATTCACAAACAATAACTTAAATAGCGAGGTCAAAAAATATAGTTCATCCATTTTGAATTGCGGCACACGACTATCAGTACGTCAGAAAACACTTTCATTCAGTGTAACCACCAGGTTTTGACGAGAATTTCGGTTGTTTTCATTAAAAAACGCTTCCATAGTAATCGTAGCCTAGCAGCGAGAAACTAAATGCTGTAGAACTCCAATTATTCGAGTCATTTTGTACCACATTTGGATCGTTGGATTTTTACAAAAATTCAGGGCCTTTTCAGGGCTGCTAGGAAGCCCAATAACGAGTATTTCTCTATCATATTACTAATTCAACTAAAACAATACGGTATACAGTATTGTGGCTCCTCTAAAAATTTCTGATTTGATACCAAACTTCATGTGAATCGGTCAATGTTCACATATTTTACTCCTGTACTTATAGAAATTAAGTAAAGGGTACCTTTCATCTTTAGAGATTCTTTTTCTCTCTTTGTTCCTGAAGAACTTGGAAATAAGCTGGAAGTCCCTTAGCACTCTATGTCGACGTTCCCGTTCCCTCAGATGCATCGTGTACATGTCCACTTGTGTCAGCTTCAGTGCTAAAGTAAAAAAATTCAATATTATGAAATGGTTGGGATATCTAAAATGCAATATATAGCCATAAAATACAGACAATATAGGTTTAAACCCTTTGATATTTAGAACAGCGATTTTCAAGCTGGGGTCGTGAAAGAATTCAGGGAGGGCATGAGCTCCTAGAAAAATAATAAATAAAGATAAAAAAAATTAAAATTAAAGTAATTTGGGATTGTAGCCATATAAAAATTTAAAATTTAATGAGATTGACTATCGAAAATAGAGTATAAATATGAAATATGAGCTTAACACGTTCGCTACTGAGCGTCGCACATTTGCGACGCCACGGTCATTGCCACAGACCGAGGTATACATTTGAATCTTACACATAGACCGGCTGTCACTTGGATAACAGTACACACAGACCACGGGCGAAACCCTGTAAAACAGTGATCATTTACATTGTAATACGCTACAATCGTGTTTGTAAATAAATTTTTCTTGTTTCTTTGTATTTTTTATAACCTTTTGTAATGTCGCATATTTGCAACGCCCGGTCTACAGCGAAGACAATAGTGAAAATTATCACAGTTTTCTTAAAATAGACTAAACGTCGCATATATGCGACAGTTCATTTTTTTGTGTTTTAAGGTAAAAGTAAGTAAAAAATAAACTGATTATTTAAGAACAGTTTATAACTGAACAAATATAAAAGCTACATAGGATAATGCAGCATACATACTGCATACATACATACAGTGATGCTGAAAAGTAAAGAGCCTTCAAATAGACCACTACAAAGATATAAGCATTTTAATAACATTAGAACCCCGACGCAAATATGCGTCGGCAGTCTATTTTAATGTGACTAGCCGTCGCATATATGCGACAGCAGTCTATGGGTGGAAACCGGCCGTCGCATATGTGCGTCGCTGGTCCATGTGAATGGAAAATTTCGTACTATTGCAGTAGCGAACGTGTTAATATGGTGGGTGGGGGATGGGGGTGTGGAGCAAAAAGGGTTGAGAATCCCTGATTTAGAGCATGACTAGCCTGTTTGACTATAAAGTTTTAGTTTAAATTATTAATAAAATGTAGTTGCCATTCAACATCCTACTCTCTTAGAAGTAATGAAAAATGAGTAACTTAGGCTAGAGTTTTTTTATCCATGGTTCAATAACTGGACTAAAAAAATCAAAGAAGATAGTCTTGGTTTACCTATGTCAAGATCATCATCTTCTCCACTGACCAAGGTCAAGCCAGACACCAGAGTTTCAGCCATGTTGTCATACTCCTGAAACAATACATTTTTCTTCTAAACCCTACTTATATTTTGCTCAGGATATTATTATTTCATCATAATCAATTGAGATGAGGATAAACAACTTAACAAGTAAACTTATAGATTTTCCCACTGTCGTATTAATGGATATAAAACATAATTTTATTAAGTTTATTAACTTTTGTACACAGGTGTATAATGTAGGCCTGACTAACATAGGCCTAAGGCTTACCTGTCTTCTTAACTATAAATTAGCGTAACTGTATTGCAAAAAGTAAAATAAAAGTTACAACACATTCAAATGATGAGCAAGTAGGTCTAGTGGTAGAGTACAGGACTTCAGTCCCCGAGGTTCCGGGTTAAAATCCTGCCATTCACCATAAGACTTTATCTAAGAGATAATGTTGCGACCTCTAGGCCTGGCCTGAACTAATGCGAAAAACAATCTCAGGGAGAGCCAGGTGTCCTATGATATGATTAAATTCAATGACAGTATTGTACAAACATATAAGAATTTATCACTGTAAGGGTTGCAGTAACAAGAATCCAAACTCCCGCTACTTTACAGATAGTGTCTGATGACACATTTATTGCAACAATGGCTTACCAAGTGTGTGTAGGATCAAGTGTTGTATTGTAAGAGGGATGGTCTCCGGGTCCTAGCCCATCAATTGAAGCTTATTGAGCATTGGATCAAGTGTTACATTATCGGGATACTGTACTACCTTCTGAGACCAGCAACACACTCACTTTACGATGCAAGATTATTTTTGAGGGCGTTACCCGTGGATTTGAGCAATTCATTACGGAGCATGAGGCCACACTAGAGAAAAAACGACTGGAACACGTTCAAGTGCCAAATTAATTTGTCTCATGAGGTAAGGTGAGTGGAATGGCACGTGTAATTTGTACTGGTGTTCCACAGGAAACACCTGTGAAACTGATAGCTCTTAATTTTGATTGTTTTCAGTAAGTAAAATTCCCTATTGATACTAAAGTGATAGTAAAACTGTCCTTTTCAGGGTGTCTACCAGTTGATCAAACTAAATTTCAGTGACTTCAGGAGGGGAGACGACGTCAAAACTCACAGTCTTTGGCACCGATAAGACAATACTTTTTGGTTACTTGAACATGAGATAGTTGGTTATACAATACTAGGTGAAACCCGTCGAAATCGACGGTTAGGGGCCTCCTCGTTTATATGGTCGTGTGGCTTCATTGGCAACAAATAATGCATATGAAATAGCAATGTGGCGTTTCCAAAGAGAAAAACATACTGTAAATTGGCTGTTACGTAAATATTGACGTTTACATACATTGTTAATCAACGTATCTTATGAAGGATAATGTGATCTAGTTTAAAAGGAATATGACCTTTCTGTCATGACAGTAGCTGCTTAAATAGTATTTACTCTTACAGCCAAAATATCGTGTTACTTTCAATAATGTTACCAACCCAGTGGGCCACGGTCCGTAATATAGGCCACTGCAAATAATTTGTCAAGATAGGTACCATTTTAGGCAAGATTTTTGTGTTTGGATGTTATTAGACACAATAATAGCACACTGAACTTCTTCTGCAGAGCAGATGAATAACTGTTGGAGAAATATAAGCCGAATCATAAATGTCACATTGCGAGTTTGAGCATTTTGTAGCTATATAAGGAAGTTACATAGTATTTTTTAGGCTGCTGCTCAGTACACTTCAAGAATATATTTTTTAGAGATAAATTAAATTGTTTTTGTTGCTGAGTAGTGCTAGTAAAAATGCGCAACCCTTTTTTCGTTAGTCTAATAATATTCAACGGCTCTCTAAGAGTTCAAGAAAATAACATTGCAAATACTTCCTTTGGACAATTCAGTAACTCTCAATAAATGTGTGTTGTTTAAAATACAATTTAAAAATTAACAGTTGTTTCATTAAAAAGTATTATCCACCTGGCCAAAATTTAAACAAATCTGTGGAGGGATCTTTTAAAGGCTTCTGGGGCAGAGCCCTAGGGGAATTTACTTAGTTTTTCTCTTGATAACTCATCTACAGACTAAGACCTTTTTTTGGACACCTGTACCAAGTTTCTACGCCCAGTCGTTCTCTTAAATTAGTGGAGACAAAGCTTCCAATTAAATATTTAGATTCCCCCATGTTAATCTTATGGGAGAAAACTTAACTTTGATGGAAGATCCAGCCCGATCTAATAAAGATTTCAAAAAAATAAAAACACTTTGCAAAACCATTGATCATGGCCATTCTTTTGACACTTTGATCATCAAAATCTGTCCAAAAATGAGGGAGGAGTTCTGTTCACAAAAATCAGCTTAGCGTATTATATATATAGAAGATTTTGTGCCGTAACGATTCAGAGCTGGTTGTCGGCTCTCAAATATGTTCACTCTTTGATTCTGTATTATGAATTTAATAATTGCCTGCAGCAAGGTGCAAAACAAAAGACATGTTTGGAGAACTTTATTTTAGTTCCGATATTTTCCATGACTTTTGGGATCATAACATGGAAATTCGTGACTTTTTAGTGGCTTCCATAACCCCCTAGTAAAACCAGTGACTTTTCCGTGACTTCAGTGGCCGGTAGACACCCTGCTTTTTTATATAGTTTTCAATGCCATTTTAGTATAAAAATAAACACATTAACTTATAATATATATAGTCAGGAGGTGTGATTGCCATCAACATGGCTGGTGGATAAGCTGTGCATTATGGAGGGGGAAGTCAAACTAACAAAAGTGTTGAGGCAGATCACGAACACAGGCGTTTTTTATTGCTAGCGAGGCATGCTCCAATTTACCTCATAAACCGGCCCAAAAAACTTTTGACTGAAGTGTATGATATTTTATCCCACCAAAACATGTAACAACTTGAATATTCAGTACCTCCAACTTACGATTTCAAAGTCGTCTCTGAGTGGGTAGTAGTCTAGCTGCTGAGCTTCCTGAGCGCGGATGTCAAGCGGGGGCAGGTTGGACACTACGGTGCCTGCCAGAGGACCATCATCCTCCCCCACCAAGTCCCTCAGTACAGGCCTGAGGTGTTGCACTGTTGGCCATGTAGCCTGCCCAATGCTTCCTTCCAGAAACCTGTTAATGTACTCTTCTCGGGCCTCTGTCACAACAAACAAAAGTTGATAGTAAACAATGTGTTGCTAAATTGCAACCGGTTATGACTCACAAACCATCGTCGGGCCAGTACAGATGTCTACTTGCTTCATTCGAAGGTTGTCAATTCATAATAAATAAATACATTTAACACACACACCTACACAAACATTTAGGGTTGCAATTTAGGGTAACGAAACCGGTTGCAATTTAGCAACACATTGATCGCATAAATGCAGGTATTTACACCAATTATTTAGTATTTAAATGCGATCAGGAGGCTAAAATTCAATATAATGCTAGTATAAAGTCATTAAGGCTTCTTTTGTACTTGAAGGACGACACAGTCGCTGGATTAGATGCCAGCATTCTTTTGTACAAATCACTGATTTAGATGCTAGCACTTGATCATTTGTATAGATCGCCAGATCGGTGGTCTAGACACCAACACTAAAATCATTTACTGTATGTAACGTGTGCGTCACCATTTCATATATATCGCCAGCGCACAAGAAAAAATGTAAGGGCCAAAATCTCTTTCAGCCTGGCTACAACAAATGCCAGTCTTCAAAACTTCTAGCTGGATTTTTCCAGGAACGAAAAGGACACAAATCTAACCTACCTCGCCCCAGATGTGTTCCAATCTTCAAACTAAGAGCATTACCTGTTTTTTTTTATAATTACTTAAGTCTAAGAGTAGGGTCTCGTTATTAAATAGGGCTGATTTCATGAATATGGAATTGTTCAGTTTCAGTCAGGGGTTGCCCGGGAGAAACCAGGGGTTTTCGGATGTAGTTTTGGGGTTTTAACGTCGGTTTTTCCTAAAGGGGATCCGGCATGTATTTGGATAATGTAACAGAAATAGCATTATTGAATTGATCAATAGTTCTCTCCTGCTAACCCAAGTAATTCACTAGTCCAAAAAATTATCATAGTCGGGAATTCAGTATTCAATTGTAAGGTATTATTAATTTATACATTTATCAAAGCAGCTCTGATAATGTCAGGTAGTGGTTTCAAGTTGTGATTGGTATTAATTAGTTAAACACAGTTCATCAAAAGCTGACTTAGGGAGTTTACAGCATCAGCCTCAGGGTAAAGCCTTTTTCCTTTTAAATTAAACAGATCCAGCGCTCCTGGATATAGATACAAAATAGATACAAGTATACAAAACATACACGTTTTGTACTTGATCTAATCTAGACCACCACGCCCATGCTATTTGGGAGCACATGAAACCGATCTTTGAAGAAAGCAATACTTTATTTCCTGATACCATCATTACTTGGAACTTCAGTGAGCCAGGTCATGGTAAGGGAGCCAGGCATGGACGTCGTGGGGGGCTCATTGAATAGAACTTCAGACTTGGAATTTAAACATGGCAAAGACATTACTTGTGCAGCTGATATCGTAGCCGCATTAGGCAAAAAGAGTAAAACTCGTCTAATTGAAATACCATATACAGCCATTGAAAATGCAAAAGAATTGCTCCCTAAAAACATCCCAGAAGTCAAAGGGATAATGAGCATAAGACAGATTACGTGTAGTAGTGCAGCTATGTATGGGAGGAGACTTTCTTGTTTTGATTGTGCTGCCGACCAAAAATGTCGACACTTTAACCTAATGGAAATAAAATGCACCGAAATTGAATCTGACTCTAGAACAAAATCAAACCTGACTGTGAAGAAGAAGCTAAAAGTTTCAGATATTTATTCGTCGGAAGATAAAAGTGTTAATGAAAATCTTAATGTCAATGACGATGGCCTACTTGATGAATACAATTTTGAGAACAGAGAAGAGAATTTTAACAGTCGAAGAGACATACTTATTATAGACATAGGCCTACTTATTACTTATTATTATTATAGACATACTTTATTTGCACAAAACATTCCATACATGTCATAACATTTAGAATAGGTGCATTGTCAAAATTAAATCCATACATAAGAGATTTAACATTAAAACTTATCTTAAAATTAAACACTTAAAATTAAAAAAAAAAATTTCTAAATTGTAGTTCTGTAAAAATCTTCAATCAAGTAAAAAGCCTTGTCAATAAGTAAATTATCTATTGTCTCTTTAAATTTGGTTTTGCTTAATGACTTATAGCATGGCGGAAGCACATTGTACAATCTCAGCCCAGCATACAATGGAGATTTTTCATATAGGATCAAACGGTGTCTGGGGAGTCTAAATATATTTTTATTTCGGGTTTCATACCTGTGATTAAAATGTATTGTTTCTGGTAGCTCATTTTTAACTGAATGTTGTAATTTAATAATTCTAGAATATACAACCCCGTTAATGTCTGAATTCTTAAATTTTGAAAATTTTTCTTACAAGAACTGCGCGGATGAGAGTTGGTGATAATGCGAATAACACGCTTTTGTAACCTGAATAAAATTTTAATACCAGTAGCATGACCCCATAAAGTTACCCCATATCATGACCCCATATCTTAACACAGACTCCACATAAGCATGATAAACTACTTTAAGTGTCTCAATAGAAACACAGTCCCTTAAATGTATGAATAAAGATGATATCGACCTAATTTTGTTATGTAAATAATTCAAATGTGAATCCCATTTAACGTCATCTACGTAAACCCCTAAGAATTTATAAGCTTCAACTAAATTAAAAGAACAGTTTTCCATATTTTAGTGTCTAGTAGAAAATTTTATAATATTTGTTTTTTCAACATTAAGTTTTAACCCATTTTCTAACAACCATTGCTCCATATCCTTTACCACACTTTGCAGAGAAGAAAACATTTCAGTTGTATTTTATTTTTGATCAAAGCAGTAGTGTCATCGGCAAAAAGAATTAGTTATTTATTAATAGTTTTTGAAAGATCATTAATGTAAATAAGAAAGAAAAAGTCGGCCCAATACTGAGCCTTAGGGAACACCTGTGGATATAATTCCCCATGGTGAATAATGTTTGTTGTTATCTTCTAAAATTAGAGTTTCTTTGTTTTCTTTCAGAAAGGTAAGATTGTATTCAAGAAAAACAACTTCCCCCAATCACATAATCATTAAGTTTCAACAACAGGAGTGAGTGATCCACACAGTCAACAAAAGCCTTAGACAGGTCACAGAAAACACCTGCTGTGGCCAGAGACCTGTCCAAGGCCTCTGAAATCTCATTAACAAACTGAGTGAGAGCAGAAACTGTGCTTAAGTTTTTTTCGGAAACCAAATTGTTTATTGTAAAATAAATTATTACTTCAAAATAATTAACTAGTCTACAGCTTATTACCTTTTCAAATATTTTAGAAAAATTACTTACTGATACTGGACGGTAGTTATTAATATCTGATTTTGAACCTTTCTTAAAAATGGGAGGAATTTGGGAGTACTTGAGTCAATCCGGAAAAATATCATTCTTTAAACACTGATTTATAATAAGAGATTAGGGTTCAGAGATAATGTCAGCAGCAGATTTGATCAATTTAATTTTCGTCCAAGCCTACTGAAATTTTGTTCTTTGGAGAAAGAAGGATCTTTTTTATTTCATCTTTATTAGTGAGGCTAAGATTGCACAATGTAACCCTACCATCACTGCAGTATGATTTTACAGACGAATGAAAACCATTGACAGAAGCCTTTTTTACATTCAGATTAATAACTAAACTGTATTACAGAAAAAAAAAACTGTTAAAAAGCTTAGCTACATCATCAGGATTATCAACAGTAGTTTGGTTTGTATCAACTTTTAAAATAATTTAGTCTCTTTGAGTACGGTTTAAGCCTAGTTCATTGTTAACAATTTGCCAAGCTGCCTTAGGCCCTGTACACATGAGAGTGGCAGCCGCCGCGGTGGCCGCAGCGGCGGCCGCCTAGGACCGTACACATGGCAGCGGTTGGAGCCGCGGTTACGCTGCGGTTGCGGTGTGAATTGAGGCCCTGTACACATGAGGGCGGCAGCCGCCGCGGTGGCCGCCTAGGACCGTACACATGGCAGCGGTTGGATCCGCGGTTACGCTGCGGTTGCGGTGTGAATTGACCGTCGCTCGACAGCCAGTACTGTATTTACCCAATTATTTTTCTTTTAAACGCGTAACGCTTGACAATTCTTTTCAGCAAAAAACTCAACTAACTCTTGCCACGCATTCTTTTTTAAACGTATCTTCTTTTTGTACTTCTTTAATGGACAGTTCAGTGTCAAAGTTTTCTGGTTCCACAGCAGCACGCATGGCCATTGTAAATTTACACTACGAGCACTAAATCAACTCCAGCCACAGCTATAAACACACTTCACCAACACAGAGAGAGAGAGAGAGAGAGCGATGTCCACAGGGCAAGCGCGCAGATGGCTGTGATCCTATAGTAGCAACTGCAGTCAACCGCGGCGGCTACCGCCCTCATGTGTACGCTCTCATGCCAACTCTAGTAACTTCAACCGCACGGGAGCCGCGGCGGTCGAAGGGAAATCTACGACCGCCGCGGTTTTTGCGGTTGATTGGAAGTGGGCGGTTGCATGTGAACGGTCCCATTTGCTCCTTTGTACTTTCAACCGCCGCGGTTCCCGCGCAATGGCAACCGCGGCGGCTGCCGCCCTCATGTGTACAGGGCCTTAGACTTGTTTTCAGATTTTCTAATTAGGTTATTATTTGAGAGAATTTTTGAATTTTTTATAAATTTATTAAATATTTTTTTTATATTGCTTTATATAGGATAAAAACTCATGGTTTTTACTAAACTTGGCTTCCAAGGGCAATTCTCGTTTCCTCTTACTGGAAATTCTTATACCTTGGGTCACCCAATTCAAAGTAGATTTATTAGTTTTAGTATTCTTTTTTAATGATTTAACAGGAAATATATGATTGAAAGATAATACAAAATTCAGGGTGTCCACAGAAATGTTGTCATCAATTTCCCTGACTTTCCATGACTATCCATGACCATTAACCATTGATTTCCATGACTCACGAACTTAATTCAAAAATTATAATATAATATACCGTACACACACGAATAATACTGCCTAGACAAGTTATTTCACAGAAAATATTGAAATATGTATTAACAGATAACAATGGAGTACAATAGGTACAACAATGGACTAATACAAACTCAAAACCCATAAACTAAGACAACTGTATAAATTGAAATTGTCGTACATTTCTGAAAAATTCGGAAAAATGCTACAATAGTCGCGGTTACGGCCGACTAGAGCATTGAAAGGTTCCCTGAAATCCATCCATCATTGGGGATTTCCATGACTTTCCATGACTTTTTGCCTTTTTCCATGACTTTCAATGACCATAATTTTTTTCCATGACTTTCCATGACTATCCCTGACTTTCCAGAATGTGGACACCCTGAAAATTTCTCGAAAAACTATTTGAATTTTCATTGGGGTTTAAAGCGAGGTTAAATACAAAATTATTATTAGTGCTATGTAGATATTTGCAAAATTAATCTGTATTTCTATCAGAGATGATTCTTTTCTTAAAAGAACGAGAAGTATTCTTGATGGTTTTACACTTGGTTAGCTTAGGGAGGTTTATAAATATAGCATTGTGATCAGAAAGACTTAACTCAGTGTTTGACCTGTAATAGCAACTAAACGTTTTGGGTGTGATAAAATTATCTAAAGAAGTAAATGAAGTATTTGTTATTCTAGTTGGCTCCTCAAATTGAAAACAAAAACCATTACATTCGACAATTTCTTAAAATCTACTTGTGTATGTGTCATTCATTAAAATGTCTATGTTAAAATCTCCAGTTACAAAAACAATATTTAAAAAAAATTCTGTATTATCAGAAATAGATTTTCAAGTATATCTAAAAACTGTTTACTTATGTTGAAATTGTATAAATAGAAATTAAAATAGAATTAAAATCCACAAGTTCAATAGCAGAACATTCAAAAATAAAGTCTTCATTTAAATTGGAAAACTGTGGTATTGATACATATTTACAGTTCTTACCCACTAATATGCAAGATCCGCCCCTACAGCCACTTTCTCTTATATAAGAACTAGCAAATTTAAAATTATTGATTGTATTTAACAGAGAGGCTGAATTATGATCTAACCAATGTTCATTAAAAGATATGGCTTTAATATTCAAATTGGCCTCAGATAAAAATAAATTGAGAGCTGAAATTTTTGTTAAATTTAATCCTTGACAATTGTAATGCATTATTAAATCACAGTTTGTTGAATAAAAATATTGATAACATAAACCTTTTAGTTCGTTATTTTGAGCCATTGAATTTTTTTTGTGCAAAGAATTATCTAAGTTACTTAATTTAGCAGGTATAAGGTCATTGTCAGAATGAATCAGTTTAAAATTAAAGGAAAACTACCATCTAAACAGGAATCTAACTCTAACACTGATGGATCACCCTCAACACTTGACACCACACATTTGCTCTGAGAATCTGTTTGTGAGTAAATTAGGCTATCTATTTTTAAACGTTTTAATCTACTTCTCCAAAGTTTACTCCTTAAACACTTCCTTACATTATTGTAGGCCTACAGTATTACTAAAATACAATGTGCTTATGAACTGAAACGTAGTTTATTTTCATGACGTATAGAATTGTATAACATTAGATTAGTACAAGAGGTATTTAATTTCAGATCCTGAGGATATCCAAGCTGGGATTTTCATAATTGTTAAGTTAATGTGAAGAATAAAAAAAAAAAACATTGCCTACCGTGATGCTGCCGTCTGTTCATCATCTCTCGAAGATAATGGCGAAGTTGAGGTGACTTTCCTAAAAAGGGCCGGAAATGCAACCAGGTTATTCAAAACAGATGAAAATGACATTTCTTATGTCCACTTTACGGACATAATAGGCCTATCAGTTCTCAGTCCTCCTACACTTGTACTTAAAGGGGACCGTTTCTATTGCAAGTTCGATCAAGACATTAATGTGCAACAATAAGACAGTTTTTTATGTTTTTTCCATGTTTTTGTATATTTTTAGAATTATCGACAATGACAAGGGTGTATTTCAATAGCAATTGTTGGGTCACCAGTTTTAAGGTTATTTTCCTTAAAAGCGTTTCATTTGAGAATTGGCTGTTTTGTCTATACAACAGCCAATCTAGGCCTATGCCTGGATCATCAGTTAAGTTACGTAAGTAGTCATTATCGTTACTCCTCATCAGTTTCGTTACTCTTAATCAGTTTTGTTACGGTTACAAAATATTTATTTTTAAAGTAAAAACGACCTTTTGAACAAAATATGGTTAATATTACCATTTTATTGGTTATAATAGTCTGATTAAAAATAATTCTCAGTACAAATACAATTGATTTTAGGTTAAAAAGGTTATTTTAATCTGCAATTTTTTCATTTAAATACGATTATTTGCAATATAAGTAAATATGTTGGTGTTAAAAGAATTATTCTGCATCCTAATCTTTACTTGTATGTTACATCTTGACAAACGTAATTCCTTTGGATAATTTTTTTTTAATATTGGTATTTTTATGGCATTTTTGTGAGTTATGAAACTGACGTTTTTTCTTGTATCAAGGGACAAAAAAATAGTAAAAAAATATAAAATTGTATAATTAAGCTCTGCTGGTGCCAAAATGTGAATGTAAATCATATTTACTAGTCATTTCAACACAGCCCATTAAATAAATATTAATTTTTTGTTGTTGTTTTCATTGTATCCCTCAATTTGAAAATGACCCATAAGTACCTATTGCAAAGAATGCAACAGAACAATATTTGGAAAAACAAAATTATTTTATCAACTATCATGTTTCAGTGAATTTATTGAATACAACAAACAAATTCACTAGTAGGTCTACCTATAGGTCTAGCCTATGAAATGTCTACATCACCTTGTCTTACAAAAAACAGAGTGGGTCTTTTGGAGACAACCGGTACCTATCTGAAATATCCGTAAATTTTCCAGAAGATTAGGAAAATCCAAGAACTACAGACTCAAGACTCTATACGTTAAATAGTAATAAACAAAATCAGGAGTAAATAAGATGCTTTAGAGGAAAAATAGATAGACAAATGTTTTACATACCATCTGCGTTTCTAGTGCCAATGTGCTGGGCAATGTCTTTCCAATTGCCAAAACTGTAGTGTTCAATGGCATTCAGCAAGTTTAGTTCTTCGAGAGCAGACCACCCAGAGCGGTCTCCGAAGACATCCAAAGCCACTGAGTCCTGAAAAAAACACCATATTCATTCATACTTACTTGAAAACACTAAGTGCAATCACTAAATGTCTCATTAACCAATTTGAGTACAGTTCTGAAATGTTTTTCATTCAAAGTTTTTCATTTGATAACCATTACTATATTTACAACAATAATGTAACAAAAAATGCATTTTACCTTCTAATAGTTTGGTATATAGGCTACATTATGATGTGTCATAAGTTAAATTTATTCATTCAGTGTGGTTTTTTATTACAGTAGAACTTTGCAGAGGTGCCCATCCCCCCCAAACCGAGAGGCGCAACCCCCCCCCCCCCCCCAAGCCAAAGGAGTAGTTCTCCCCCCCAATTTATGCTGCCGTCTATTTAAACCTACCCTCCCCCCACCAATTTATCTGACAATTTTCCCTTTACCTCATAAAACGAGCATTCCAATTTAGTATTTAGTAAACTTGAGGTAAAGAAAAACAAACTTGCTGATAATAAAAATTAAATGTTTAATAGGAAACGTTAACAACATTTAACAATACTTCATTAGGTATATCTAACTAATGGACGAATTAGAAGTGTTTCAATTTACATTTCAGAATCTCTATTGTCAGCTAACATGTGCTCAGTATTGCAATAGACAACGTCTTCAAAACGTACAACAATATACTAGGTGAATTACTCTACTCCAACACAGTATTGTAACTGTACAATATATTAGGTGGCGTTAAATTTTACAGAGAATGAATCTCAGAGAAGAATTTTAAGAAATCAAACCGCTTTAAAAATGCATTAATAATACTTTGGCAAAAACTATTTTTTTTTTTCAAAATTATAGGCAGAGTCACGAAATAAGACAGACTTGTTGCTCGCCACTCCCTGGCTCTACAAACACCGCCACTCCAAACAACACACTCCAAAAACTCGATTTTACTCTACAAAAATCGCCAGGCAAAATACCTACAAAAGGTTTTTGTGACGAAGTAATCTTATAATTAATTTTGATAGCCCCAGGATTGCCTTTTATGACTAATAATGGTAGAAACGCATCTTGTCAGACAATCTGTTTATACACAAAACACGAAACGATAACATATAGGCCTATTAATTCACGTGAGTATATTGCCGCGGGCAGGACTGGAAGTAAACTGAATCAGGTTATGACGGAAAGACGGGGTCTCTGGATTGTCGTCTGTGTTATCAAAAGCTGATATTGGACTAGTTGTAGTGGAGGAGAGTGTTGAAAATATAATGGGATTCATAATTGAGTTCAGTGGCGTAACAGCCGCCCCCGCAGACCCCGCGGTGCGGGGGGGCCCGCGAGGTTAAGATACCCTATTCTCATAAAACCGTCCGTAAAACCGATTCTTTGTTCACGGATGTTTTTCTCTCCTGACAAATTATAAATAAAAAAACGATGTGTTGGTAGATACTTTTATTCTGCCAAATCTACTGAAGTTTTATCTTTTAATTAACAATATCGTTAACGAAACGCCAACGCTCACCACGATCACCCGACGATGTGTATTGTCAGTGTGGTTGTGTAGCTTCATGCTAGCTAGCGCTAGGAGCTGTGTGCCTGCCTGCCGCCGTGGCGACACACACTCGGAGCCAGCCCCTCCTCCCTCCCCCACTACCCGCTCACGTGTAACTCAGCTGACCGTAGATCACCTGATTTTGGAGATCAAAACAATTTGTTTTCTGTTCTCAGTCCTGACTCCTGAGTTTCTGTTGAGCAGTAAAGATGATGAGCTTCAAGTGAAATCAAGTGAACTGGCTAAAGAATATAGCGAAGATTTGACATCTGACTTTCCTAGCGAAATGTTAAGTTTCAGAAGAACTTTCAGACATGAAATCAAAGCTAAAAGGTCCCTGAAAGAGATGGCAGAATTTTTTTTCCTGGAAAACTATTCTGTTGCATCCAGTTTTGAGTTTACCGAATTTATGTACAGCATATTTACTATTTTTTGACTCTACCTGTTACAGTGGCTTCAGCTGAACGTTCTTTCTCCAAATTAAAATTAATAAAAAATTATCTCAGTAGTACTATGTCACTATGTCTCAGGAGAGACTAAGCGGGTTGAGCGTCTTAAGCATTGAAAACGACATTGCAAGACAAATTGATGTAAAGACAGTCATTGAAACTTTTGCAGCTAGAAATGCAGCAAGATCAAGATAAATGCATCATTTCAAATAAATAAAACCTTTCTAAAAGTTCTTTTTTGTGATTTGTAAAACAATTTGAACTTAAAACATGTGTTAATGTATAGCAAAGTATTTCTTGTCACTTTAAAAATAAAAGTTAGGCTATTTGTTATATTTTTTGTATTTTTTTATTTCACCGAAGTCAGTTCACGCTAGTGAGTTTTAAATTTAGGCCTACTGTAGGGTACCATGCTCTACTTAGTTTCTCAATCAGATGTCATGTCATTAAATTGGGCTAATTTAGTGAAGCACTAACATTTACAGTTGGGACCACGAAAGTTAACAGTTAGTTGGCGGCAGCCAATCACAAGACAAGGCTAGTGCGACGTTGCCATATCGCCCATTGACGACACTAATTAAAATACTAAACAATATTTTTAAAACAGCTGGTATTATTAGATTTGGCAACACCGCACTGCCCTCATTGGCTCCTTTGAAGTGAAATGGTAAATAGGCTACTCCCTCAACTGCAAACTTTCGTGGTCCCGACTCAAATTATAGTTGGAAGCTTGGTTGTTTTAGTAATGAATGTGAATGGTGGAGTAATGGAGTAGCCCATATATATTAATCACGAACATAACTCCCAAGTTTATTATCACTGTGACAAAATATAAAATATGTTTCAAGGACGACTCTGGTCGTGTGGTTGAAGAATAGGTAAATACTTGATATTGCTAGAGACCATCCTCTGCCAGTCTGATCGTGTAGGCCGTGGCCGTAGGCCTGCCGTCACCTACGTCATGTGATAGTTGTGGTGTGGCGATGGTTGTGGTATATAGTGCTGTGGTGGGGAATGGGAGGGGTAGCAGGGGGCCCACAGACATTTTTGCGGGGGGGCCCGGGGAAATACTGTTACGCCACTGATTGAGTTTTTTCATTTAAAATTATTGACAATAATAACCAATTTATCTGCTGGATATAAATTATGGTCTCGAAATTCTACAGTACTGCACGAAAGGAAATTTATTAAATACTTTGAGGAGTTTGAAATATATAAATACATAAAACTAGGGACAGCGCAAAATTTTTGAGTGAAAACACTCAATTAATTATGAATCCAATTATACTTTTTTTAACACTCTTCTCAGTCACTACAATAGTCCTATATCAGCTGGTGACAATGCAGACGACAATCCAGAGACCATGTCTGTCCGTCATAACCAGGGCCGCCCCGAGGGCTATAGACGCCCGGGGCAAGATTTAAATTTTCGCCCCTCCTAAACAAAGATATTTCGGGGGTTTGCGTCGATAGAGGGTTCATCGATATCGAACGTTATCCATGTATTTTTAAAATCCTTTACATACAGTATTCAGTTTGTTTAAATATAGGAATGGGTCCATAGATGGTCAATGTAAACAATAATGTTAGTAAATGCACGCTGTTAGCATTTAAAAATAATTGTATTATTTACAAAATGCCGAACTTTTGCTAACATAATTTGCTATAAAAGTATATAAAAAAGCATTAAAGACGAAAATCTTTGAAATTGTTTAAAAAAAAATGAATACCATTTATTAAGAAACAAAACACTTTATTTACAAAAACGTATGATTATAATATTGAAATTATAACAAACAGAACTTAAGTAGATAAATCTTTTGGCAATAGATACAACTTTGAAACCATAATACAAGATTAATTTACACCCAATGGAATTTTCCTAGCTTTGGCATTTGCAAAAGAGGTTAAAATGTCTTTAAAGTCTAACTGTTTTGCCGCCTCATTTTCTATCGATAAAATTGCCAATGCATTCAGCTTTTCTTGCGTCATAGTGGATCGCAGATACGTCTTGATGAGTTTTAACTTGCTAAAACTTCGTTCAGCACTTGCTACAGTTAGGGGGATGGTCAGCAATATCCTTAGAGCAATCCACAAGTTTGTAAATAGATCTTTTTGGTCGTGTGACTTAATACTCTTTAGCACCTTGATGGGAGATAACGCTTCATTTGTTTTATGTTCATCATGAACGATGCTTTTCACGTGGATAATTTCATTATACAAGTCATTTCCGTTTATGTCACTAATGTTATCAAATGTAAGAAATTCTTGAAGTTTCAGGCAACACTTCTTCAACTCCTCTTTTTCTGGCAACTTGCTAAGGTCATACAAGAAGCTCCATAAAGAATGGTGGTTTTTCAGCTGTTCAGTACGTTCAGTAAGAGATGTGGTGACACTATCAACAAGGGGCAAAAATACATCCCTATTAAAAAGTTCCTGTGGAGTACCGTTAATTTCATCTGGCCCTTCATAAGAAAACTGTTTCTTTTTCTTCCTTAAAGGCTTTTTCGGGAAAACTGGCTCAGTTCCGATACTTTCGGCAATTTCCTTAGCACAAATGATTGCATCTTCAAGCCCTGATTCTCGAAAAGACCCTAGGAAGGCTTGGCAATTATCAAGCAGCCTTTTGGCTGATGTTAAATCAGTCATTTTCCCTTGTAATGCTTTGCTAACAAGATTAACTTGAAATAGAAGATCGTGCCAAACAATTAAACAAGTCAAGAAAGAAAAATCTTCCATATGCGATATCAGAGACTGGGCTTCTGATGCTGTTTTAGGGTCTTCAACTGTCTGACAGTTCAATCAGTGCTTGTCTAACGTCAGCATACTGGTACCTGATAGCCTGAATGGAAGAAATCCTCGCTTCCCAGCGAGTTTCGCAAACTTGTTTAATAGATAGTGATTGGACATGTTCACTCACTATACAATAGCGTTTTGTCGATCCCGCAAATATCGTGTAGATCCTCTGAATTATTCCAAACAGTGAGGTTGACTTAACAGACGACTTTGCACCATCAGATATTACCAGATTCAAAC